ACAGTGGGAAGCGGATTTCCAAAGTTCTTAACTCTCTTCCTTATATTGTAAATATTTGTATATGTAATGAATATATCCATTTTATATATATATATTTATATTTATATTTATATATATATAAACACTACAGATTCCTTGCAAGCAATTTTTGCATCTCATCTTCAATTGTATCTACACCCAGTGACTGCTGATAGTAGACCCTCAGTAGGTATTTGTTTACTCATTTGGTACATGTTTGTTTTGAATAGATAAATGAATAGATCTGAAATTGAAAAACGGAAACCAGGGTACTTTGTTGCTATGATAAAGGCATCAAGGAACACAGTTCCAGAACAATTCAAACCATTAAAGATGGGAAAAATAGATAACCCACATGTCAAGGGCAGGCATTAGTACCATTTTCCAGCTGATCCTTCCAAAGTAAAAATGCTCCATAAACTGCAACTTGTTGCTGTAACTGTTTTTAGGGAAATTTGATTACCCAGGAGTACATGCTAACCAAGGAGACTTCTAATCTTAGAAATGTAGTAAACTGCCCTCCCTGGTGGTGCGGTGGGCTAAAGCTCAGCACTGCAAGCTGGCCGCAGGAGCTTCCATGTGTGTTCAATCCCTAGCCCAGGAGGTGGCCCACATGGCGCAGCAGACCTCTCCTGACCTGCCCACTGCTCCCCTTAGCACTGTATTTCAGTACATCTGCCTGTTCTGCTCCCCACTCTGTCTCTCGTGAATCCTCTAAATAGCCCTGCACTTCTGGCCTTTACCACCTGCCAAAAAAAAAAAAATGTAGTAAATGGAAACAGCAATAGTGACTACTGTATGATTGTAGACAATAATAAAAACTATCATATCATTTTTATTTTTATATGTAGGAATTCACATTTTTTTAAATTGAATCAATGATTGTAGATAATGAATTTTCTCACTAAATGTGAAATACTATTCTATCTGCTAATTCTCAGTGAAATTTACTTCCTATTGTCTCCTAGGAACACAAAGCAAATGAATTCCCATTGATTTAGAGATGAACTGGATCCTTGAGTAGAAATATCAAGAGAACATTTTATCACTGTTGTGTGGGGTTGCACTCTGGGAGGAGGGTCACAAATAGGTAGAAATCCACCTACAGAGTGTACAACCTAAGACACAAAGAAAGAAAGTCTAAATACACTAAAATTATGAGGTAGTGAATAGCCATTTGACAAAAATACTCACATTGTTCACCAAAAACTAGATTTACTAATCATACTTCAGGTGCCCATCAGCCACATAAAATGGGCCCACTGGTACTCACATGACTCAGGAAGTGGGGAGAGGCTGGTTACCAAGCGCCAATCTAGACTATACGTGAACACAGTCTTTCCTCAAAACCTGTGTAAAAGTGAATAGAAATTTTGGGGTGCAAATTTTTCCAGTTGCCCTTAAGGAAATTTTCTTTCTAGTTCACCAAAAATTGATTAAATGTGACTCATCAGCACAGCTCCGAATGGAGTAGGCAGCAAGATACACCTTTCCGGTGTCTTAGTCACTATTATCTCCTAAACCTGACTCTTGGTTCCTTCTTTTGATGAGAATGTTGCTATTTTCTGGTTAATTTAAAACATTACAAAAAAAAATTACAAAGACAACTCCTTTAGCATCAGGCTTGTGGTAGGAACTTACTACATGAATTCTGAGTGGACATAAAGTTTGTCTCACCCTATCCACCAAGATAAATCTTTGAATAAAGGATTTTACCAACCTTAATAAGCCATGAGCCTTGAGTATGTAGAAATATGCTCTTGAATGATTTTAATTTCCTTCTCCCCCAAAGTTCCTGGCACAAAACTCTGTAGAAAGAGCGCTCACACATGCACTTATGAACATGTGCAGCACATACATGTTGAATTGTTGAGTTAGCTTAGAGGATCCTGAAAGAATTAATTCAGGTTTTACCTATGTAGGGTCTGACTTCTCCATTGTCCCTGGAGATAATCAGTGTTATTTGGAGTGAAGGGAAGGAAAAAACCAGTCATGCTGATCCCGGTGGTTGATTAGTATGTTTGGTTTTACATAGTAGTTACTGCTGGATAATTGGTTGGTCCACAGCTGCCAAGTCTGAATAGATTTTTTCTATCTAAAGTCATCAATAAATTATACTAACATCATAATGCTGTAGACTGAAAACATCCTCAGTGTTCAGATATTTTTAGCCTGGCCTGTTTTTGCTATTGCCCATTTTCTTTCAGCTCAAACCATGGGAAGACTTAAATTTCAATAATACACAGAGCAGTGAGAAATGAGGGTTCACCAATGGAAAATAGGTTCTGCCAGTGTATGGAAAAGAAGTCCCAGTCCTCCCCATGTCTCTCTGTCCCTAACACACTACCATATACCAGACACGTGGTAGTTGGGGGCCCCCCCACACTAAACAATTCTGCACTACTTGGGTATCCTACAATTGAACTCCATTTTGAAAGAATCTGGCTGGAGATGGCAAGATATAGCACAAATTAAAGGGTGAGTCCACAGAACTGGCCGCTTCTGCTTCAGGTGCTGCCAGCAAGCAGTAAGTCCCCCAGTTACCCACAATTTGTTCAACTTGGCCACAAATAGGAGGTTCCTGTAATCGCCTCCCTCTTGGATTCAATTACTTACTAGAACAGATCACAGAACACAGAGAAACACCTTTACCAATTTATTCAAAAGTACACAAAGGCAACGATGAACAGCCAGAGAGAGCAAAGAGCAAGGCGTGGGAAGCTCCTGAATGCATGACTTTTTCTTGCACCTCGTCCTTCTCTGGAATCAATTAGTACCTAAAAGGTCTTTGGCCTGATTACTCAACATCTCTAGATTCACTTTCCTCAGCTAAAAAATGAAAATAATAACAGTACACACCTCTCAACATGTTGTAAGAGTGCAATAAGGCAACACGTAAAGAATCTGGCACACTATAGCCCTTGGAAAACATTCCAATCTCTCTTTCTTAATAATCCAAGCACGCATTGTGCCCATGAAGAGACACCAGTATCAAAAAACATCCATCTCATGTCTTGTGAGGCCTCCCATGATCCAGACCCTGCCTGTCTCTCCAGCTTCTCTGTCACTGCCCCGTGCCCTTCGCTTGGTGCACTTAACTTTGTCAACCTCCTCATTCTTTCTATTCACCCTGCTTCTACTTGAAAGCTTTCTCAAATATGCTTTCCCATGTCTATATTATAGAACATGCTCAACCCCTCTCTTCACCAGTATGACCTCTATTCAATCTCATCCATCAATTTACATTTCACCACCTTAGCAGGACCTTCTTATGTATTCAAGCCCAAGATTGTCTCCTGTCCTATTCATGCTTTTTTTTTTATAATAGTGGCCATGTTCTTAATTGTATATTGGCACAAAATTGTGCTATATACATAATTTGTCATGAATTATGTGCTCCCAATATTTAGATGTTGAAACTTAACCTCAGTAACTTAAAATGTGCAGTATTTTAAGATACAGGCTTTAAAAGAAGTGACTAGGTTAAGAAGAGACCACTAAGGTGTGACTGCTGTCCTTGTAGGAAGTGGCTATTAAAACACAAAGAGATACCAGAGATGAGCAGACAAATGATTGTGTTGAATAAGTATTTGATCAAGCAAGGACCATCCCAGAAAGCAAGAGCCCAACAGAGTCACTTGTATATCGATAGTAGTACTGTGAAATGGAGGCCACCAATGCAGAGTCTACTGGAGGGGACTCTCAGGGGGCACTCAGGCATGAGTGTCCACACTAGCCAGAAGCAGACCGGCTGCAGGATTCCCACAGTTCCCTTCCGGGACCTTCGAGAAATGACTCAGAGCTGTGCATCCAAACCTGACACTGGATCCTGAAAGTGCTCTGAGGTGAGTTCCAGGTAAGACCACCATTCTACTAATGTCTAGAGATCCAAGAGTGTCTCTATAGTCCCAGAAAGTCAAAAGCTACCCAGGGACTCACGAGAGTTGCCTAGATTGGTGCAAATTAACCCTATAAGGAAGGATCAGGGTCCCTGGGAGGCCTCAGGTATATGGAGATCATCTGGCTGCCTAGTAAGAGGAGCAGGGAAATCCTCAGCCATCTCTCCATTATTTATGTGATAAAACAACTAAAATCCTGTCACTAACATGTCACTCTTTGGAGTCAACATCACTATACCTGACCACCACTTTTTAAAAATGAAGAGTCCCAATTGCTCCATATTTTCAGTCATTAACATCTTATTATTAATTAGCTCACTATTTCTCCCAGGTGGGCTCAACCTGACTTGGGTCAGAATGGTGGAAGAATGCAAAGGCACCTATACAAACGGATCTTGAATATAAATCTTCCCATCATTCTTCAAAGCTTTTCTAAGACTTGGGCATTTTGGCCACTAGCACTCTGACCACAGGCCCCCACATGCTTGGTTATACCATGAATCAACCACATTAGGGTCTTGACTATTCCTGTGACATGGCGGCTGGGGAACATGTGTGTTTTAGCTCTAAGAAATAAAGAAAAGAAATCAAAGAACAGCCTATATGGTGAACCTTTGCTTCCTTTCCCCATGGGGCCATAAATGGTTAATCCACTAAACAGGTAGAGGAGCTTTCTGCCTCCTATAAAGTTTGATTCCTGGAGGCAGATTTTTTTTTTAAATCCAGCAAGTGTCAGATAATTGGAAGGGTGGAGTAACACTGTAAACCACGACACACCTTTGTCAGGACTTGTTTGGAAGCAAAGAACTGAAAGAAACAAGAGGGAGAGACTGAGAAGTGAACATTTTTGAAGGATCACTCAGCTTTAACACACCTTGACTCGATCTGGATAAAAAAAGTGGGAAGCGCAAAGGTGGAGAAGAAAACATCAGGGGAAGAGAAAGGGGGGATTTATTCAAAGTTGTTTCCGATTCCTTCAAAATCTCAGACTAGGTAAGTAACAGGAAGAATTTGGCTTTCTCCCTTCTGAGATTTTGATTTGAGGTTTGGCATTTAAAACTTAAATATTTGATGGGAAAATTAAGATGAAGTTATGTTGTTGAAAGTGTTCTAGTTTAAGTGATTAATTGATCATACATGATTACTTTGGTTTATACATTCTGTTTAGGTAAGGTCCTTTATGGGAGTATCAAGAAAAAGTAATCAGTGGGAGAGAGGAGGAAAAGATCTTTAAGATATAGTGGACTCTTGTGGTCAGGGATTTTTGTTTGTTTTATTTTTAATATTCTAAGATAACCTGTGTTAAATTGCTTTATTTAGATAGGATAAGAGATTATTATTCTTCCTTTCTCAATCTCTCTCTCCTTTCCTGCCCTCCTCCCCTTCCCTCTTCCCATTTTCCTCTCTCCTCTTGACAGAGAAACAGTCAGGAGGTGAAGTTAATGTGCTGGTAGGGACGCTTCCAGAAGCAGATCTCTGAGCACTAAAGACTGATGTGCTTCCCAGGCCTCTGTGCTGGCAGGCTCTGATAAGCTCAAGGGGCTGGGTCACCATTATTGTTTATAATACTCTAAAATTACTACTGATGCTAATCTAAAGTGTATTATCTGAAATGATATAATTAGTCCAGGAATTTCCTGGAGTGAAACTTGGAACAAGAAAAAAAAGGAAAGAAATATTTTTGTCTGTGTATATACTGGCCAATTTGGGCAAAAAAAAAAAATCATTTGGGGTTGAGAATTACCAGCTTAGGTATCTTGCTGGACCACATTAACTGCTAACTACAAATTACCCCTTCACTTTTTGAAGTGTAGACAAGGTCTCTGGCACATCACTTCTTCCTGAGTAGCCTGATTCTTGGCTGTGTTACGCCTGCTCGATATAGTGAGGTTTACAAAACGATATTTATTTGAAAAGTGGGATTATTTCTTCTCATCCCCATCTGCTCTGTCTTTCAGCAAAGGCACAGATCTAAGTTAGAGCTAAAGTAAAGTAAATGTCCACCCTGTTGGGTGATCTTCAGAGACTTCGAGGAGGCCAGCTTTATTTGGAGCCCCAGTAACCCCACACAAATTAATCAGAGTTGACAAAGGGACAACTACAGTAAACAGTTGTGAGTTCCATTTGGACAGAAGCTTCCCTTGGTGGATCTGACCTGCCTAATAAGTGACCAGGTTGTTGTTATGTCACCAAAAGTCTGTGCCTGTGTGGTTTGTCTCATTTGCTATATTAAAAGCAGCAGGACTTCACCCAAACACAGCCAGAAACAAGTAGGAGTAATCGCAAAATGATCCCAGCTCCCTTCCCCACATTATGAAAATCAAGATGCCAAATGGAGCAAGCAGGTGAACCTGGGTGTTGTGAAGACAACGGCCCCGGAGGCTGACCTTCCTGGCTTCAGCCTACTTGGCCCTTCTGTGTGAAGAGATCCAGAGATAGTGCAGGGTTTCCTCACGATCTCGCCATTCTGTTGGTTTGTTTTAAAATTTATAGTTTACAGAGATAGAAGATAAGTTTAGAAGCTATGAGAATACTTCTGATTCTTTAGCTGAGTGTAGGAATATTTATTCCTAAACTAGAAAATAGAGAGTAAAAACACTTCTCCATTCCCTTCTTGTATCAAAGTCCAAGTGTTCCACGAATCTTTAGCATGAGCACAATGCAGGGGTTTCCATTACTAACAGCGACTTGTCTCTCATGTGTCTTACATCACGAAATAATTTGGTGGTTGGGGTGTGGAGGGCGGGGATATGACAGCATTTATATGAAGTAGAAAGATTCATAAAAGTAGATAAAACATTTTGAGCTCTGTTTTCTTGCATTTAAAAAAATGACATGAGATCATTTTACATATCTTCAAAAGAACATTATGAAATCATCACAAAGCAGCCCCTTAGAAGTCTGGCTGGAAATCAGCATAATTTTGAAATTGAGAACTTGAATGAGCTGCTCATTCTTGGTCGAAACAGCCAAGAAGTTAAAAGTCCAGCTATTTGCTTCCAGTAAGTGATGCTTTTGGGTGGGCAGTGGGGAGCAGCCCTGGGAGAGGCAGGTGCTGGCACGTACCTGGGCATGTATGTGACTTTCCTTTCTGTAACATTATACTTCTCAAAACTATCAGCACTTAAAGGCTAAAAAAGGAAGTCTGTGGGAAAATCATAGGTCCTATGGGATGATCCCAGTCCAGGCTGTGCCTCAACTCTCACTTTCCATTTGATAACTCATTTATAGAAAGTCTCCTTTTATGTTTGATTTAAAGCCCATGCCTGCCTCTTCACACTATCAGCCTGGGAGAGAAGTTTAGGAAGATCAACAGAGCTCTGTTGCATGTACTTTTAGGTCCAGGAAGTCATTCCCTGTGGCCATGGGGCACAGTCACGGAGGGGCTTCATGTGGGAGAGGCAGGGCTTGTCTACCCGAACCCACCGCAGGCACACGATGCCCCCATGTTCCCGCCAGTTTGGAGGAAGCATCTGGTTTCTTAGTAGGCTATCTCTTCAAGCCCTCTGGAAACCAGGAAACCCATACACTTTTGTTGTATGGGGGCTCTACCACTGAGACTCAGGAAAAGATAAGAAAGGCCTAGAGATACCTGTTACTTTTCTGAGCACAGAAAGAACAAGAACTTGCCAAATAATGCTGCCTGGACTCTCAAACTCTTAGCAAAAGGAGCGGCCATCATGCTACCTTGATGGACAAGTGGAACAGCTGGTTGATCTCAAATTGATAGCTGCTAGCAGCCACTTTCATAAAAGGATCAAAAAAGGCCACAACTTGTGGAAGGAAAAGTTCCCATAGGTGTGATAAACTGATCCTTTCAGAATAATATTCCACATCCATTCAGGCATCATGGTAAGGGGTTCCCCATGGTCAGCCAGGTGCATCTGCATGTTTAATTTCCAGAATGCCCCCACATCTAATGACCAATTTAAAAAATTTAAAAGACAGAAAGGCAAAGTTACCAAAGGCAATTAATGTTTAAACAAAGGATTTTAAAGAGGGTGTCCATCTGCAGGAGGGTAGATTTGTATGACATAAGTCATACAGGTAATGGCTGGAATGCAGACAGTCATAGGCCAACTCTGGTCTCCTAACAAGGCTGTGCTCCCTTGCAAAACTGTTTATGGAGTCCCCCCCTCCACCTCCTAGGCTTTGGGGAACATACCTGCAAGACTTTCTGTGGCTTCTCAGATCCAGCCAGCAGTTTTTCCGTGATGCTCCATTCCTTGCCTAGAGCTGCGATTAAGAAACTCTGATGAGCAAGAAGTTGGCACATTCAATCAAGCCCTAAAGCTAACTGTGTCGATCTTGGTTCATTTCCCGGCTAGTTGACCAGCTGGTCTCCTATAGTCTTGGTTTTCAGCAGAGAAGTCACTCAGCCTTCAGTATGACTCTTATGGGTCCTCAATACCTTTGCCTCTGTGGATCCCTTCATCCATTTAAACAAAACCAAGCCCAAAAACCCAAATTTTAAACAGTTTATTTTACAACTGTATTGGAAGGGTGCACTCCAGTTTGGATTATGTTTATTTTTCCTTCCCAATTTAAAAAAAAATCAAAACATTGTTGTGTCCCTGAAAGGGACTGGGCACTGTGCCCACTGCAGCTAAGAGATAAGTTGACTTTAAAGTAATCTGGTGGGCAAAAAGATCAAAGGAGAGATTTCGAAGCAAGGGGCAAAATTCTCAGATCCACTCTGAACTGCACTCAGGGTAGACTAGGAGGAAAGGAAGGTGAGGGACTAGAGAGAGCCACTGGGGAGTCGATTGCAAAGCCTTCCGGGACTGGGTCTGGCAACCACAGCAGAGAGAGCCCACTCGTGGCAGTGAGTGGCTACACTGCCTGGCTGAAACTCAAGCCTGGAGCCCCCAGCTGGCTGGACTCCCTGGTGTCAGCCCTGCCTCATTCCAGTTGCACTGATGGACATGGTGGACAGTCTGTGATTTTCCTCTCCAGAAGCAGAGCAGAGTGAAGGGAGAACACAGCTAACACATGCAAATGTGCAATTTCTACACATTTCCAGGTTTTACACATTTCCTTCATATTCTTCTCCTACTTATATCTGCAAATAAATCTATTGGGTTTTATTTTGTACTTTCCAAATTTCAAATTTTCATATGAAAATTTCCATACAAATATGACAACTTTAATGATTTTTATCCTGGTCTAGTTCATCGGACATCATCTCACATCTTAACTCTCAATAATGAAGCATGAATGTCTTACATGCATAGAGTCCCATAGAGCACTGAATGCTACGGGATGCGTCAGAATGGCGGCTAAGAGCACTGAGTGCTTGGACAAAATCCTTCAGCTACCTGTGGCTATGGCAAGAATGTGGCTCTATAGTCCAAGGCCGGAGTGCCACATCTCCTAGGGGGCCCTTCCCCTTAGTGGTAGACAGGGGGGCACCTGACCAATGACAATGTGAAAATAAGATTCCAGGGGAAGTAGAAATGACTCTTGTGAAATTATGCACATGAAATAAATATGCCTTGAATTCTAGGTATCAATTTTTTGGTTCTCAGCGTGAATAGTAGGGACCTATATTTACTAAATGTGATGGAAGAGTCATGATCCTTTATAGTTTCTAGCTTCCTTTTTTTTTTTTTTTTTTGCAGGTGGTTATGGTATGGACGTAAACAAAAACAAACGAGAAGGCACCGAGATCACTGAGAGACGTAAGAGCATATATGTGTATATGTCATTATAGAGGCAATAAAACACTCGGGAGACTAAGTAATTCACTCCTAATTTTACCATAATGACTTCATTTTTTCCTAATTGTTGGGTGTTTTTAGTTATAGAATCTTTTTCTGATTTTTTCCACTGTATCATTTAAAATATATTTCCAAATAGATTTTATTCCTTCCTGTAAGGTGACATTTTTCATTTTTAAATTAGCATCATTTGCCATCAAAATGTGTTCAGCTTTTACTTCAAAGGTAAGAAGTGCCATTTCAATGGTTAGTTTTTACAATCGATATTTTTAATGGCTGCATAGTATTTTTAAAATAAATTTGCCATATTTATTTAACTATTTCCTTATCTAGGGATACTGGGGAACAGGAAAGAAACCCCATTATTACAGGGACAAACTTGCCATTACAATAGTGTCACAGTTGTGATCTACACTAAAAATTGAAAAAAGATACATTTCCTTTGTGAAACTGCCCAAATGATAAATTCAGAGATATTTAAACTGTCCCCTTAGCAACTCTAATTCTTTCACTTATCCTGTGACTTTCAAGTATCTCCTATAAAAAAAAAAAAAATCTGACTCCACGCTGTGGAACTTTAGGCTAAGAAATAATTTATTTTTATGTGTCAAAGAATCCCAAAGGTGCATACAATGAAAGGCTTAGTGAAAGCTCAAGGGCTATTATTCAAATCAAGCTGCCATTTTAGTCTGAAAAACCATTTCCTTTTTATGCATTGAAAGCTGTTTCTGCTACATTCATAACCCTGTGTTCCTGCCAGGACAAGTTAACTAGGAAAATTCAGTGTGAAGGAAGAAGGGGTGGTGGGGGCCGAGGGCTGTAAGATGGTGTGAAACGCAAGCCTTTCCAGCCTTGAAGCTTAAAGTGGCACCAAACAATCTTGCATCATCTTCTTCCACCCTTTGCTCCCCTCACCCCTGGGCCCCCAAGCACGTGTACATGTATACCACGCACATGCACACACCTGGGCAGAGGTCAAGTTTGCTTCTGAAGACCAATGATTTCAGCAAACAGGTGTTTCTCTGTGCCTAGTGCATAAGGAGGTAGGAATGATGATCACAGTCACTACCCCAAAGCTGACCCCACTGGGTTTCAGGAACCTGCGTACTTTCCCATGAGAGAGGGGGACCGATGACTCAGGAAAGCAAGCGGCCTTTCTTCGACTGGCATTTAAAAATGCTGGAAGATTTTATTCACTCTGTAGACATCCTCACTCGGAGACTAGTGAAAGCAACTGAATCTTTAAATCCATCATGATTCACTATCCCTGATTTCACCAAACACCAAGTGTGTCTTCCCAGACCCTACCTTCCTTACCAACTCACTCTCCAGGATTTCCCAGGACAACTTAGAATGAATTATTATGCTCTACACACATCCCCAGATTCATTAAAAAAAAAAAAAAAAGTACAAGATGATAATCCATATGAGTGAAATCAGCCATAACGATGCACTGGCCCCAGCTGGACCATGTGACCCTTGAGAATGAGTGTAGCTTAGACATTTGAGAGACACTCTGGTTCTCCATCAAAGCGGGTCCAGGCCTGGACTGTATGTAATTGCTAAGGAGAGACACAGAGGCCAGGACAATGCATTTCTCAAGTCAGTGGCTAACTAACTACTTTTGGTGCCAAAGGGACAATAACTTACTGTCCAGTACAGGGAGCCGCATCGTCACTGCACATATCTTCAAGAATGTGGAGCAGGGCACGGACTTTCCAGCATGAGTATGTAAAATTCTGTGCCCATCACAGACAATAGGTCTTGCCAAAATGTGGGTGTCAATGCACTAAATAAGATCCCATCCTTTGTCTTTTCTAGTTATCACGGAAACTGTAACTACAAGACTTACATCTTTACCTCCAAGTAAGTGACGATCTCCAGAGCTTTCTTCTCAGTGAGTCTAGTGTGAGGGTTCCACCTGAACACTTTCTGTAAGCACTCATTGAGCAAATTCAAAATACCCAAAATCTTTTTTTTTAACAGCTGTAGCAACATTCACTTCTGTTCTACAAAATCTAGCAGTTTGAAGTGCACAATTCAATGGTGCTTAGTGTATTTACAAAGTTGTGTAACTACTGTAGCTACCTAATTGTGGGGCATTTCCATCACCCCAAAAAGATATCCAAGGTCACTAGCACTCCTGCCCAACATCCCTCCCTTCTCCCTAGTCCCTGAAAAACACCAATCTACTTATCTCTATAGATTTGTCCCATCTGGACACTAAAATGGAAATCCCATCAACCTGAGCATGGGCTGGGGAAGTCTGATCAAACGTGGTACTGAGCCCACATTTTTCTCAGGAGGCTCTTAGCTTGAGTGGATTCTGAAATGAAGATCTGAGCCCAGAACCTCCAAGGAGGCCTGGCTCACGAGGTGGGTGGGGGAGTGGCTGGCCTGTCAGCACTGAGAGTGCAGCAAGGGCGACCAGGGGGAGCATCAGTCACACAGAGCTGCACCCACCTCTACAACACTTCTAGGGGCTACCTCTCTGGGGCACTGGCCAGGCATCTGGAAAAAGCAAGCCTGACCCAGCCCTGGTTTCAAGCCATTTCTATCACGCCTCACCCAGAGACACTACTTTTAAATCCGGAAGAAAACTGGATCTTGACATTTGTATTAAAAACAGACAAAATGAAAACACGGCCTCTTGTAATCTGCAGTACAGAGGGGAGGGATCGGAGTCAAGAGGGTGGGGGAGAAAGAAGGGATGGCTTCCATGGGGCTGGGGATGAGCAAGCCCCCAGAGCTGATGCCACCGAATTTCCCATGCTCTTGCTTCTGCAGAAGGAGGGACCAGCAATGGCTACGCTAAAACGGGCTCTCTTGGTGGAAGCAGCCGGCTGGAGAAACAGAGCCTGACCCACGGCAGCAGCGGGTACATAAACTCAAGTGAGTGCCTGCTGGCGGGAGTGTGAGGGGAAGGGCGAGTGGGCAGCGGGGAGGAGAGTCCTGAGAGCAGGAGCAGGAGAAGCACACTACATGCCATCCATTCTCCAAGCCCCACACAGCTGCATGAAGGACACACAACACAGCAAAGATAAGACTTTCGTCTCATTTGGGTCTTTTCGTTAAGTCCTGATATAAATAACGATAATTATCAACAAGTCTTCGCAGGGAGGCAGCTTCATCCCACTGAATCATTCTCTTATAGAGAGGGGCCTGAGGTCTGAGCGTTTACAATCTGAATGAACAACAAAGAGAGCTTACCCACAGGTCACTAAGCTAAGACAGTGCTGGGACCTCCAGTTCCACTGTGGAGCTTCCTCTGGGCAAGCATCCAATGCAGGCCCTGTGCGCCTAGGGAAACAGGCTCTCCATTGCTTCTACAGTAGAACAACAGCGGCCTCCCTGGTGGCTGAGGGGTTAAGTCTCAGCACAGCATGGTCACCCTAAGGCCTTCCTCCCATCAGGGCCAGAGAGCTGGCCCACATATCTCGCAGGGGACTTCTGTCCCCTGTCCTGCCCTCTGCTCCCCTCAGTAGTGTCTTCCAGTAGACCTGCCTGTTCTACTCCCCCCTCTGTCTCTGGTGAATCCTCTCACCCCCTGTCTTTCTGGCCTACACCCCAGATCTTATACATAAAAATTAAAAAAGAAAATACAGTGAAATTATCAAACAACCCGAGGAAAAACACAAGGCAAAAGCCACATCCACAGTGCCTGAGGGCACTCACAAAATCTTGGAGCAACACTATCAAGAAACCCAGGACATACAGCAAAGGGCAACCCAGGGAAGCCTTATCAGTTGAGGACACTTGGATTTCAATCTCCCAGTCCTCTGGCAGCACCCTAAGATTAAATGCCAGGTCCTCAAAAGAAATCCCACCACAGCCTCTTGTCTCCATGGGCTCTGGCCACTTACAGAAAGGACAGCCCGACCTCCCAGGGTCAACTTGGGAAGGGCGACGGCTCGGTGGACCCTGTGCCACCTCACTCCCTAGGGGCTCTGCCCCAGAGGACTCACTTTTGTGTGAGCAGCCCACTGGGAACTTATCAGGCAGGTGTCACTATGCTGAGCAGAGGACTCGCGCCTCCCCCACCTGCAGGCGGAAGCACGCGGGGCCATGCTTCCACCTCCAGCTACAGGAGGGCTCACTCACCCGCCGCCACCCTGGGCCACTCTCCTGCCTCAACCTTTGAAAGGAAAACTCACGTCAGCCGCCATGGAACATACGAAGGTAGGAACCTCGGGCTTTGAAAGAAAACTACCTCTTCCCCAAGGAACTTGGCTCATCGTTTGAGGATTCCAGTGTTGGCCACAGGGACAAGTGGGAAGGTGATCAATAGTCTGTGGAAGGGAGCGCTTGGAGAGGAGCCAGCATTCCACTGAGATTTAAAACACAGGTGGCTGGGCGCCATGGAGTTCAGGAATTTGTCCTGACTTAGAGTTGCCGGTCCACCTGCCAAGTGGGGTAACAAGTGGGCAGTGGGGAACGTGGAGTTGAGCTCAGGGAAGAAGTCAGGGCAAGATGTCCAATTTGGAGTCATTCTGCCAGGGGACCCCCACATCCAGTGGCGTGGACTGTGTCACCAAAGTGCTGCCTGAGGTTTCGCCTGCGCAGGGGCTGGTCCCTTCATTTTCACAGGATCCGCAATCAGGACCAGCTTCACTTGCTGGCAGCATACTTATTATCAGGGACAAATACTGCACAGCCACCACAATAGGGCAAGCAGGAAATGGGGTGGGGAGGAGCCAGGGGGAAAAGAAATGAGAGCCTACTGCTCTCCTTTGCGCAAACCCATCCCCACGTAAGTGGATCAGGACCAGACTGAGGTGCCAGGCCACCGCCAGTAAGTTTCATTTCACTTCTCGAGGCCAGTTGGGCTTAAGTGGACTTTTGTACTGTCTGACCCTTTTTCCAGGGAGTTCCAGTGGCAACTCTTCTCCTGAGTATCCGCGGAAGGAATTTGGTATGTACAAACAAAGTTGGTGCTGGCAGGTGGGGGAACGTCAGGAGTTGAACAGGTTCTCTGAAGGAGTCTGACCTGAGCTACCCATGCTCCCTTGCTCTTCACCCTAAAGCACCTTCAGGGGGCTGCAAGCCACTCTGACTTGCTGTCACAGCCTTTGGTCACAACACTATCGAAGAAGCAGCCTATTCATCCAAGACCCGGGCTTGGACAGCTCAGCCTAAGGCCAGCAACACTTGTAGGCCGTTCCTCCCACGAGACACAAGGAGGAGTAGAGGTTCGAACATAAGTGCCAGCCACCTAGCCTCCCCTACCACACCGCTGGGTCAGAGAGGCACATTTTAGGTCCAATAAGACCCCGGCTGTATCCTCTCTTGGCCTGTGACCCATATGCTCACTGTGCATATGAATTGATGATAGGATCATCAGCTGCACGATGATTATAATCTTATTTGCTCATAGTGACAAAGCCCAAGGCAATCTGTCACACAAAACCATGGCAAGAGCCAGCAGTCTTTGACACATCTGATCAGTGCAGCCAGCCAGAGCAAGAGGACCGTGACCCCAAATGATTTCCCTCGCTGACCTACCACGCTCCATGTGAGCTAACTGGACATTCACCTAGCTAACTAGCACCCTAAATGCACAGGGGCCTCGGCTGTGTGATCATCGTTTATGAAGCATTCACTAGCCTGAAAGGCCCCTACCTGCTACCTGTTATTAAGCCCCTCGCCCCATCCAACTGGATCTACCTCCACATCAGATTGCAGCATGCCAACTCTTCTATATGCCTGACTACTTTTCTTTATTTCTCAGCATCTTCTTCAACCAGAGGACGGAGCCAGACTCGAGGTGAGCTCTGGCGCCAGGTTCAATTCTGTTCATTCCACAAGTATTTTCAGAGTATCTAAGGCATTCCCAGACTTCGGGCAAGAAAGGCTAGAGTAGGAAGGCCAGACGAAGGCCAGTTTTCTGCCTGCCTCTAGGGGCAGCCTCCCAAGCTAGGGGCTCACAGCCTCCCGGGAATCTACTGCAGACTCCATCTACAAGAGGGGGAAGTGCTGACAGTGGTCCAGTCAGTCACGAGGCAGGAGGAAAACACCAGGCGATGACCACGTGACACATCTTGTTGGCTGTGGATCCCCTGTGGATGCTGGTGCCACCCCTGTTTCAAGCCTTCTCTCCTGGCTGACTCTCACAAGATGTGATGTAACTGCCTCCATCATCAAAACACGAGCAAAAGCCTTTCAAACTGCTCCAGGGCAGGAAGGGCTCCACGACAGTTTTGCAGCCTCCTCATCTGCCCACAGGATAAGGCTCTAGGTGGGACAGTGGTCCTGGGGCCAACTGACACGGCCTGTCTGGCCAGGTCGGGGAGAGGGCACCCTGAAGGCAGGGATCTTCCCGGCTCTCTCTGACCAGCCTAGACTTCCTAGGGGCCTTTGTGTAGTCACTCAACGGTCCGGAACAAACCCACCACCCACAAATGTAGGATGACAGCAGAAAGATGCCAAAGCGCCACCCCAAATTAACTGAACGTGTTAAACTATCCACTTAAACTGCCTTTCCCACTTTAGACGAGGCCAAAGGGCTAAGTAAATTCTATGGTCCAGGCAACTGGACACGTGCAGTGGACAGGGTAACTATTGCTGACTGTAATGGAAACTCTCAGTTCAGCCTGGAATTTCATCAGAACATGTCCAGGTAGTTGCAAGGTGTGCGATGAGCAGGTTGGGCATGGGGAGATGACCGCTCTCTTCCAGCCACTCTCATCCTGGGTACTCCTAGGCTTCTTGTTCCAGGACACAGAGCTCTCAGCAACCCAAAGATTCACCCACTGCTTGGGCTCAGTGTCAGATCCGATGAGCCAAGCTCCTCCATTCACATCCCTCTCCATCTCTTCCCTTGAACAGAGAGCGAAATCCGAGTTCGCCTGCAGAGTGCCTCCCCGTCAACCCGATGTAAGTGGTCGCTGTCGCGTGTTGCTGAAAAGAAAGGACCGGGGAAGCCAAGCTCGCGTGTGCGTGCCTGGGCATGTGTGCATATGTGTGTGCACGTGTGAGCTTCTCTTAGCCTTAAATATCTCTAAGGTTCTTCTGGAGTCAGACCCTGGGCCAAGCGAGGGGCTGAAGAGCTGAGGAAGTCACAGTGCCTGGAGCCTAGTACCTCAGTGACGAAAGGGAGACAGGTCACACCAACTATGGCCCTCAAGGAGCCGAGGGCGTGGGGGCCACAGGAGCCTTCCTGGGTCGGCGTCGCTTGAAGGGAGACTGAAAGGTGGCTCAGCTTGGCTCTGCCAGACGAGCTGCAGGAGGCTCTGAGGAACACATGATGAGACTTGGGGGGGAAGCTTCCATGTGGCTGAGGGGAAGGAGCAGGCGGGGATGTGTAGGGGTAGGAAAAATGAGAGGAGGGTCAGAAATACAGTGCAACTTGAGTTTTATCTTGAACATCAGGAATTCCCCAGTCTCTGGCCAGTCTTAACTCCTTTGTTCGTGGTAGAGGTTACTTGACAACATTTTGAAATGAGTTGACTGTTAGGACATCCTGAAGCCAAGTGCAAAAAAAAAAAAAACCAGGAGAAGAAAGAGAGGTCTGGGGACTTAGGAAACAGTCTGGGGCCGAAGAGTCAGTGCGCGGGGCCCTGGGGCTGACGCTGGTTTAAGGCCTTCTCACCCGAGTCCTTCCAGGCTCTGGGGTGCGAGCCTGAGGACGGAGCTCTGGGGGAGGAGGTGCATGGGCACCCCCAGTACCTGGGCCTGCAGATCTGTTTGTCTCCTGTTCCACACTGTGTTTGCCCCCTTCTCCAGTACCGACTGGCAGGCACAGCGAGCTTGCTATGATTATTACCAGGCACAGGAGCTTAAAACTAACTCGCATGAAATCAGTAAAATATTTAGAAATCATGGGCCACACATTCCTTTTGACACTCTAGGAACGTACAGAGGCTGACAGCACCAGTGAACCATTTGTTTTTAAGGGGCCTGTTTCTCTAACTGCCCTGGGGTGTGTCTCCCCACGTCCCACCTAGGATGATGACCCTCTAGCCATCGAATCACCACCCCTGTGCTCTCTGAGGCAGTCTAATTAGGAAATATCTTCTGAGGCCTCTGACCTCCTTGTAGAGACACTCTACATATGAGTCCATTAACATTACAAAGTACAGGCTAATAGGGTTATAAATTGACAAAACGTAAAACTAAAATGTGAGGCAAAAAGGTCCCCGCTGGCCCTCCCTGGTGGCGCAGTGGGTTAAAGCACTACACCAAGAAGCTTAAGCCACTTCCCCATGAGTTCGATCCCCGCCTGCCCCGGAGGTGACCACATGGCGTGGCAGACCTCTCCTGACCCGCCCGCTGCTCCCCTCAGCAGTGTACTTCGTCGATCTGCCTGTTCTGCTCCCCACTCTGTCCCTGGTGAATCCTCTCACCCTCCGCACCTCTGGCCTGTACCCCAGTTCTGTATGAATAAATAAATAAATCTTTAAAAAAAAAAAAAAGGTCCCCGCATGTGAAACAGGTGCATGCTGCCACAGAAGCTCCCCCTCCACACGCAGACTGGGCAGAGGATCCTGGGCCCAGTGGGAACTTTCGGGCATTTTTTTGCAGGGACAGAGCTGGATGATGTTAAACGTCTGCTCAAGGGGAGCCGATCAGCCAGCGTGAGCCCGACCCGGAACTCCTCCAACACCCTCCCCATCCCCAAGAAAGGCACCGTGGAGACCAAAACAGTGAAGGCCAGCTCCCACTCCGGTGAGTCCCACAGCCCCACTGCCACGGGGAAAGCGCACAAGGGGGGAGGTGCCCTGGAGCATGGCAGAGACTCGGCCAAGCACTGAGCGTCCGCTCAGGTGGCGTGAAATGTGGACTCTGCTCCCCTTCTGCATTGGTCAGCCACCCATGTGCATGCTGCAGCCGGCTCTAGCCCTCGGGGCTGGACATCTGCTGGGAATAGGATGGCCAGTTCCCCAAACGAAGACTGCTGGGAAAGCTGTCGTGTTTCCATTCCCACAGCAGAGATTCCTCATATGCCTTCCTATGCCAAGCACCAGGCTCTGAGGACAGGCACTGATCAAGACAGGCACAGACACTGCCCTCAGGGCCCTGGGGGTCCCACAGACATGGTCAGGTCGGATGAGCGCTGCCAGTGCTCACACAGCCCCAGCCTACGAGGGCGAGTGGGTCATGTGGGAGGCAGAGGAATGTGCTGGCCTGTGGAAGGAGGGAAAAGTGACCAGTCACCATGACATGACATGACATGACATGGTCCTGTCATTCACCACTGAAAAAACCTTTGAAATTGTGATCTTCGGCTTTTCACCCATGTGGTTAGCTCCCGTTCATACAAGGAACAGGCAAAATAGACTTCAGATTTGAAAACCAGCCTTTGTGGGCAGAGGGAACTTGACCTCTGGTTGGGACATGGAGATGGCTAAAGAGGGAAATTGTGAGGGCTGCCATCCTGCAGTATGGCAGGAGGGAGGGATCCCCATTCACACTTGCCGTGTGCCTGGAATTCCACTGTGAGGGTCCACTGCAGGGGTGGGGCAGCTCATCTGCTGCTCCCTGTCGTCCTTGAAGGCGGAGTCAGCCAGAGACCACTGAGCTTAGGAGGTCTCCAGAATAAATCTGTCTACTTCAAATGTCACCAAGAGCCAGCAAGAATTAATTTATCAGAAGAGATCAGGTGCTCACTAGCTCTGGGATTTCAGATGTAAGTCTGATGACCCCAGTTGCCCTGGACTTAGGGAGCTCCTGAGACATAGAACATTCAGGATTAAAACCAGGAAAGTCCCAGGAACAAGCCAGCTGGTTCAGCCCAGCACCGCGGGGCTTGCTCTACGGGGATGTGTTTGCATGCCTTTTCCAGTATCTGGCACCTACGACGCGACCCTCCTGGATGCCAACCTTCCCTCCCACATGTGGTCCTCCACCCTGCCAGCGGGGTCGTCCATGGGGACCTATCACAACAACATGACAACCCAGAGCTCGTCCTTGCTCAACACCAACGCCTACTCTTCAGGCTCAGGTACTCGGCACACAGCACACACCCTCTCCCACCCCTGCACCTCCACCCTGTGCCCAGTTCAGCAGCCCCCAGGCTCAGTCCAATCCAGTCTCAAAGCTGTCTCTTCCGGTGGGTCCTTAGAAAGGACTGTACAGCACAGTACACCCGGAAAGAGACAGGGGTCGGGACATGAGAATGGGTGCAAGGAGCTGAGTTTCCCTCCACGTGGCTCAACACTGGGCTTCAAGTGCCTTCTGCAAATGAGGTCACTGAAGGAGGTTCCAGAATCAGATGTCCACTGACCCAACGAGGACCACCTCCTGGCCGTGACCCAGGACATACCACAGATGAAAATTTGGCTCTGTGCTGCAAGGCGAGAGTCTTAAGTGTTTCCAAAAAAACAAAATTTAACAAACGACCACAGTACAAGCCCAGCATCACTTCCAGTGCTTCCTTGTCCCTGTTTTGGGCTGGTCGCCCCCGTTCCAGCCTGTCTTCTCTCCCGCAGTCTTTGGACTTCAGAATAACATGGCGTCCTGCTCTCCCACCCTGCACCCTGGACTCAGCACCTGCTCCTCAGGTCAGTGCTCACAGCTTGAATCACTTTTTCCAGGCAGTTGCTTAAAAACAGGCATCGTCCCATCTAACAAGGAGAACAGAATGGTTTCTAGAGAGACTTCTCTTTGCCCAAGAGTGTGAGGACTTACTTCCCTTGCACACAGCAACGCAGAAGCAGCAGGCAAGGAGCTACATCAGGAGACACAGACCTGGCCTCACACCCCAGGGAGGCGGCTCATACCCCAGGGAAGGTTCTGGGGGAGCAAACAGGCATCTCACTTTTCTACATATTCTGTGCTGGTCCCTTTTTATTTTTTCTTAAGAAGTGGAAAAAGGAAGCCAAGGTTGTAAGAGGTGGAGCTTAGGACATTCTCGGGTGCAAAGCATTAACTTCGAGGCTTTAATTCATTTAATTTAAAATGGACAGCTGTCCATTTTAGAAAAATATTTCCTCATTCTCTTTCTACATTTACACACAAGCGATTGCAACATAGAAGTTACCAGCCCTCACCTTTCTACAGGGAGTCTGCCTTATTGGGATGTGATAATGGATACAGATACAACCCCGAAATCCCTCTGTAGCTGTAATGACCAGTGCTAGACTGGTGTGCGCTTGACGGGCAGATCTCAGTGCATAGTTAGTGTCCCCACTTCATTTCCTTTCCCTTTGCCATTCTGCCTGGCTGAGGAAGAGGGACTGATATGGGATCCATGACCTTGGACTCCAAGCCCTGGATAGGCTGGAAGAAGAGCAGCTGCTATCTCGGGAGGAATGGGCTTCTGTGCTTTGTTAAATACAAAGCACAAGCACCTTTGAAAGAGCCTTTGAAATCATTCGCGGGGTAGGGGGAGTAGCGTGCACCAATCAGGAGAAGGAAGAGTTAGTTACAGGGAGTCTAGGGCCTGCCAAGTCCGCGCCTTGTGCCCAGTGTGTCCCACACCCACAGTTCCTGCACTGTGCACATGGTGCCCCAGAAAACAGGATATTCAAAATTTGAGGGGGCACAGTACTCCATGTAAACTGCTACTAAAAAGTGTATGGGAGGGGAGAAGTAAACATTGTTGTAAAATGAACAATAACGTAAATAGGTATATAAAAATAATAAAAATAAAAGTGTCTGGACCCAACTAAGAGATGGAAGTGCTGGTACCTTCTGACCGGTCTAGGGAGTAGGGCTTTGTCACTAAGAGTGTAGGAGTGGAAGACCTATGGGAATCCCACATGCAAAGGCATTGATCACGAAAGTGGGGTTTGGGGAGCGTCACAGTTAGGGGAGAGGCTGCCTTAGCTGGGGGGCCTCCTCTATGCACCTGTGCTTACCTGTGCTTAACCCCGTCCACAGTGTTTGGCATGCAGAACAACCTGGCCCCCAGCTCGACCACCCTGTGCCATGGCACAACCACCTCCTCCACAGGTGCGTAGCAGAGGACGGACACACAGGGGCTGCCGGGCATGTCTGCGGCTGGTCCTGCTCACTCAGTGCTCCCCTCTTGCAGCCTATGGTGTGAAGAAAAACATGGCCCAGAGCCCTGCTGTCGTGAGCACGGGTGTGTCTACCTCTGCCGGTGAGTGCTGTGCCCAGCTGCCAGGGCAGGGCTGCATGCAGGGAAAGTGTTCTGCAGTGACACGTGTCTTTGGGAGGAGGGGACAGACCCCATTGGCGTCTGAGGTCGGCAAATAAAGCACCACAAGGGCTCCCAGTTGTTTCCACGAGAAAGCAGGGGAGAGCAAAACCCTGACCTCACAGAGACCTCCCTATCCCTTGGACAGGAAGTTCCCCCTCCATACTGGCCTTGGTCGGGCACCCAGCCCACCCTTGTCTAGAAGCCCCTGTTCTGGTCCCGCTGCCTGTCACCCATCACAGAGCCAGGGAGCTCTCTAAGCTCCATACCTCTCCTGTGTTCAAATTCTTAGAATCCTCAACTGTTAGGCTCAGGGTACACATGGGCTACTTCCTCTATTGCTCAGATCTGGCCTGTTCCCTTCCATTTGACGATTCATTCATTCAAAGAGCACTTACTCAGCACGCGCTCTGTATGGGACAGGCACTCTTCTGAGTGCCGAGGATAGAGATGATCAAGGTAGGCTACGTTCCTCCCCTCACCCTGCTAAAAATGCCAGTGGAGGGGAGAGGTAAACGAGGGGGCAAAGTATGCCAGGTAGATGCAGGTGTTGAGGTGGCAGCGACAGCGAGTATGAATCTTTCGGGCACACTGACATGTCGGGCCTGAATGTGAGAAATGAGCCCCATTAACTAAAGCCTGCCAAGGGGAGCGCTTGTCCCTTTACAACAGATCCTACACTGTTCAGCTGGAAAGCAGCCTGAAGGCTTAGCCTCCTGATGGCTGGGCCCAGCCAGGCAGAGCAGGGTGCCTGTGGTCCCCAAACCTTCCGCAGCAATCACTGCACATAGGAGCCCCTCCAACACACCTGCTGGCCTCTCTCCTCCACCTTCATCTCTTCTCTTTCCTCTTGGGCTCATTTCTCTCCCTCCCTTCTCTGGTGCCTTCACCTCCCTCGCCCACTCCTGTCCTGCAGCCTGCAGCACGAGTGTCCAGAATGATGACCTCTTGCACAAGGACTGTAAATTCCTGATCCTGGAGAAAGACAATGTGCCTGCCAAGAAGGAGATGGAGCTGCTGATCATGAACAAGGACAGTGGGAAGGTCTTCACTGCCTCACCCGCCAGCATCGCTGCAAGTACGAGGCGCCAGGGACTCAGTTCAGAGAAAGGCAGACAGTGCAGGAGACTGAATGTCCTAGCAAGGTGGTTCGAGCCATTTCAATAATGAAAGCACAGTCATCCCATTGAAGTGAAAAATGCATACCCAGCAAGAGTCCTGGGTTCTGCCTTGAATGCAGACAAGCCCAGAAAATTCCAGCAAACATCTCCCAGATGGGTCTCTGGACAACAGAAGGTCTTCTAGCTATAGACACAGGTCCAGGGGACTGCCCCAGGGAAGCTGGGCTTTCCTCCCCAGGTGGGAGAGGATAGGTGGTGGGTTTGGAGGCATGGGAAGAAAAGATTCTGGATTGTCATGGTTGTGTGCACAGCTTCTTTTTCAGAGGACACCCTAAAAAAAGAAAAGCAAGCGGCCTACACTGCTGAGACCCACCTACTATCAGAAACTAATGGTAAGAGCAAATCTGATGACTGTAACCCCAAATTCCACTAACCCACATTCCGTTCATTTGTCTTCTGAGAACTTGCTGCTCCAGCAGCACCACCCTCCTGGGGTGTGTTAAAAATGTGATCTGCCAGGCCATGGCCCAAAACACACTTAGTCAGAGGTTGCATGTCCAGAGCTTCCCTAGCTGATGTGTGTGGCACATTATTAAAGCAAGGCACCCCACACACACACACAAAACCCATCCCACCGCACCTGAAATCTACAAGTGTGATTTTTTTTTCTTACCTCAACCTCCCATAATTTTCAAACACTGTTTTCATTTTTTTCTTCTTCCCAAATATCCAGCTTCTCTCCTGGGTAACTGCATTTCTTCACTCTCTCTGGATTCTATAGATTCTCTCCAGATCACTGTGCAGGGAGATCTGTAAAAGAAAGGAAAGTTAAGTCAGAGAATATTTTTAGATAATGCAAATTAAAATCAGTTCAATCCAGACAACACTTGGCCCTAAGTCTTCCAAGTTAAAGGTTCCTTCTATTTTAGGGGCTTAGTAGAGCCAAAACACACTTCAGAATCTGATGAAAGCTAGAAACAATTTTCCCAGAAAATACCACACATACCCACAAACATTCAAGGGTCAGATAGCTTCAGGTGCTCAAGCACAGCCCTCCGAAGCTTTTGTTGCTCCCAGGCCCCCTGCACCCCAGCGAGGGTCTGCAAAGTCCTTTAACCAGGAATTCAAGAGTCATTTTCACAAGCACATTACTGCCTGAATGCACAGGTTGCCCTTAATATGGTCTGTAAATGTCTTGAACTTGAAAAGTTGAAGGTCACAAGAGGATTTAAACACCTTCTCCTACCAATAATTATCTGCCAAGCATCTTCCTTAATGGAATTATTGCAAATATCAGGCGGGTGAGGACAGAGTTAATGGCTTTTAATTCCTACATGGTGCTGTTCTGCAAGGTAACTTGGGGGCAGATTGACCTAATGCCCTGCCCCAGATCCACAAAAGCTCAGGTCAAAGCTGTGTTCTTGGTGTTTGTCTTTCAGGAGACTTGAAGACTATGTCCACAAAGGGAAAATCAGCTGCCTCAGGTAGGTGCGCCTGCTGGTGAGTGAAGCAGATAGCAGCCCCAGCCGGGGGCAGTGCAGGGTATAGGCCAGGGGTTGAGGCAGCTGCAGAAGCAGCTTGCCCAGGGGATGGTACTCCAGCCCCAACACCCCTGCTGGGCACCCACCATCTGCCCCAAGGTCCAGGGTCTCCCTGGACCCAACATGGTCCAGGTGGACTGAGACCACCCACATCTTCAGCCCCAAGCACTTTCCTCACTTGATCCCATAACCTGTGAGGGCAGCAAATCAAGGATGAGCGCCTCACTGACATACTAAAGACCCTTTCCACTACGGGATAGTTTCCGAGCAGCCCTTAGTCTGAGTGTGCTCAGGCACCGCTGGAATCATAAAGGAGAGGCGGAGAGGGAGACTTTTACTTTGGACCTAATAAAATGCAGGCAGATGAGTGTCCACAGTCCAGATTTATAAGTCAAGTGCTACCTGCAAGACTGGCCACAAAGCTGCCTACATTACATGCCTTATCTCACCCCAACAACCCTCCATCAAGTAGGTAAACATAGCCCCATTTTATAAAAAAGAAACAGGTTAAAAAAGATCTCGGATCACACAGCTTGAGCCCAGGATTGTCAAACGTGTCCAGCCATGGACAGGTGTCCACACCAGGAAACAAAGCTGCACAAGAACCAGAAAGCCCCACTCACATCCACTAGCCCACAGGAAGTCAGCCAAAGCCAGCGGGGGGCAGGCATGAGCCCTGCGTCTGCCTGATCCCCTCCCGTCCCTTCCACAGGCGCCCACAGCTATGACCACATTGGTGGTGGAGGAGGAGGAGGAGGAGGCACCAAAGTTGTTGGTGGCCACGGCGGGGGATCCTGGGGGGCAGCACCAGCCTGGTGCCCCTGTGGCTCCTGCTGCAGCTGGTGGAAATGGCTGCTGGGCCTGCTGCTCACCTGGCTGCTGCTCCTGGGGCTTCTGTTCGGCCTCATCGCTCTGGGTACGTGCTGATGGTGGCCCCACAGCCTGTCCAGATGGGTAGCCCTCCCGGGCCCAGGCCCAGGGGACACGAGGTCTTCCTCAGCTGAGATTCCTTGTTGGTACAGATAAGGAAACTGAGAAAGACTAACTGGAAATATCCCAGGAAATGTCCTCAGTGGCACACAAGCCCTCTGTCCCCATCTCCCTCCCCCCGGGCAGTGAGCTGTGCTGGGGTGTGGGGAGGGGGGGCGGCAGGGGGGAAGGGGGGACTTTCAGGGCTGATGCTCCAGGGTCTATCGGTTTCAGCGGAGGAGGTGAGGAAGCTGAAAGCGCGAGTGGACGAGCTGGAGAAGCTCAAGAGAAACGTGATGTATTTGAACGAGGAGATGGAGAGGAGCAGCAGCAAGGACCAACTGCAAGGGGTGGCGCCTGGAGCGGGGGCGGTGGCGGGGTCCACCGGGCTGGACAGCGGCAGCCAGGAGGCCCTCTGGCTATTTGTGAGGAACAAGCTGATGACCGAACAAGAAAACGGTGAGGGCGCGCGGGGCGCAGGGCTGGCCCCCTCCCTGGCTCCCTGTCTGCTGGCTGGGGGCGCTGGCTGGCCAGGGTGGGGCTCACAGACTCCCCTCACCCTGGCAGCCTAGGCCCCAGGGGAGCCAGCACCGGGTCATTTTCTTATAGGGAAAACTAAGGGCTGGGGGCAGGGTGGGAGGAGGATTCCCCAAGGTCACCCCGTGAGCACACTCTCTAATCTGACCCTAGCCTCAGCGTCTTCCCGGGATCCCTCCGAATCTCCTTCGAGCTCGTGGATGTAGTTGCGTGCGTGTGCGTGAGTGTGAGTGTGCGCACGCGCGTGCGTGTGCGCGCGCGCGTGTGAAAGTGTGCGCGTGCACGCGCACAAACCTGCGTTTGTGTGCAGCTAATTCAGGTGTCTTTCTCTTGTAGGAAATCTCCGAGGAAGTCCTGGCCCGAAAGGTAATGTGGGGACCTGCACCGATCCCCTGTTCCCGTTTCCTGCAGGGGCCAGGATTTCTGCATAGATTGGGAAGCTGCTCTTCTTTCATTTTTCCAAATTGAAGGACGAGCAATGGAAAGATTCTGTTGGAGGGTAGAGTCGGCTTTACAGTGAGAACGTTTTAGAATAGGGTAGGCCTTCAGGCATCATCTAGGAGGCACCCAAGGAACTGATGGGCACACAGGGGTCTCGCCAAGGCCCAGCTCTCCTTCAAAGGCTGTTTATGGACTGTCCATCGATCTTAACATACTAGGCAAGAATGGCCTCTGGTTCTCACCCCGCCTCACAGTTTTCCTATTTTTCTCATTGTAGGTGACACAGGAAGTCCAGGCCCTAAAGGTAAATAGAACACGATACTTTAAACCTTAGATATTCCTGCAGGTTGACTATTTAAAGCCACCAGCAAGTGTCAGACCACCTGAGCCTGAAATGGCCATAACATGCAGGACATCCAGTTACATCAGTATAACAAATAAACAACAAACAATATTTTACTTTAAATATGTCCCAAATATTACATGAGATATACATATATTGAACGTTTATCTGCAATTCGAATTTAACTGGGCATCCTATAATTGTGTTTGCTAACTTGTTGCTCCTACCTGAAATCCACCAGGGCTTTTTAGGGAACTGTCCAGAGCTCCTTGGCTGATGTCTCTTTTATCTCTGTTCCCACAGGAGATAGAGGACTCCCTGGAATTCCAGGTGTGTAATGTCTACCTACTATGGTAGGTACTCAGTCCTGGCTCCCAGGTGCTGCCAGAAAAAACAGGGCTGAGACCTTCTTGTGTATTCACAGGTATCCCTGGGCCCTTGGGCCACCCAGGTCCAGAAGGACCCCGTGGACAAAAAGGCAGTGTGGGTAAGAACTGCTTTTCCCATGTATGCGTTCATTTCCTCCCCCCTTTATACATACTTAAGTGCCTACTTGGGTCAGGCCCTGTTTTAGGTCCTGGGAAGACATCAGTGAATTTGGGTGGAGAGAGACAATAGACACGATAGATTAGATAAGATATAGCAAGTTAACTGATGGTTCCTGAAATGAGAACTGTTGGGTGCCCGGCCATCAGGAATGCGGGAATGGGGGGCTGTCATTTTAAATAAGGCTGTTGGGGATAGCCGCCTGGAAAAGTGCCATTTGAGCAAAAGAGTTGAAGAGGGAGCGGAGCCTGAGGAAGTCTGGGGGAATCATTCCAAATAGAAGCAGCCACAGGGCCCAGGGCAAGAGTGGGTACGCGAGGCAGGCCACACAGGTCTTGTGAAGAAGTTGAGAAGCCATTTGAGGTTTGGTGCAGAGGTAGTAAACCCTCCACTTGCATCTGGATTCTGCCTTGCTCCTGGGCTGCATGGTCAAGGAGCTGCAGTAGGTCTGCTTAGCGGCTTCAGGCCAGCGCCAGCCAGCAAGATGCTGCCAGGGAGCCCGTAGCATAGTCCAGGGCCCTAATGCTGAGGGGACCCTGGCCTCTTTGTCTTTAGGAGAGCCTGGTATGGAGGGGCCCATGGGCCAGAGAGGGCGAGAAGGCCCCACAGGACCTCGAGGTGAACCAGGACCTCCTGGGATCGGAGAAAAAGGAGACACAGGTAAGAAGCGATTCCTTCACCTAGAGCATAAGTGGCATCCATGTTTCCTTCTGTGTCTTCCTCCTCCTTCATTCACTAGCCTTGGCTGAGTGCTGGCTGAGCACTGCCCTTCAGCCAGGTCCGTGTCAGGCCTTGCAGAGACAGTGGTCTGAGGAGGGCAGGGATGGGCTGTGGGGTCTGGCCTAGAGCTGAGAACCTGCAGTGCTTAGAATCCACGGAGAACGTGGTCCCGGGACATGCAGAGGGGCTGGGAGGCAGACTGGGCTTTCCCCAGCTGTGTTGGGTACAGGAGCCTCTCGTGAGTAGAACTGATCAGGGAAGGAGGCACAGAAAGCCCAGTCACAGGCCCAGACAGAAAATCCTCTCAACGTTATGAGATTAAAAATAATGCTTTGGCAGGTAATAAATGAAGGTTTATTGAATGTAAAGTGTCAAGTGGTAGAAACCAAAGGTGCTGTATGGATTCACAGCCTCATGAAGGCAGCAAAGGTATTGATTGGAGTACAAGTCAAGGGTGTAAGCATCCCCCATTACACCACCAGGCTGGTGGACAAACCAAGTGGGGACTCCCTCAGAGTGTTCATTTCTCCCCAGGGGCTGCTGGTGAACCGGGTGTTCAAGGCCCACCTGGTGTCCCAGGTTCTGTGGGTCCCAAAGGTAAGTTAGGTACCCAGAATGGTACCCAGAATGTACCAAGGAGTCAGCTGTGTTCAGGATGGATCACAGAGGTTGAAGCTCCGGGGCCCAGACATCCAAAACCCCCAGCCCCAGGCCTGTGCAGGGCGATGGGTCCAGCAAGCATCCTCCCGCAAAGGAATCCCTGTGCATCAGAATTGGGCCTGAATTTTGGGCTCCGTGGTAGATTTGGGCCACATTTCTACTTCAGCGGCCCATTTTGTGTCCCCCGAGTGGATGGATGGATCAGGAAGTCAGAAGGCAAACCATTTCCTCACCTGACTGGAGCCCAATGTACATATTTGAAAGTAATATGTCTGGACAACCCAGGAGATGGTGGCCATCTCACTGTTTGATGCCCACCTGGTCCTTCTCATCCCCACAGGTACCCCAGCCCAAATGCTTTACTCTGACCTGCAAAGAGCACGGGGTCTCTTAATCCCACCTGCTGCAGCATCCTCCCTAAGCAGGACCCCGTGCTGGCTAGTGGGCACATAGGATGTAGGCCACACACGCACAGAGCCCCACCTGGCTCTGCTCTCCCGGCACCTGCCCTTTATCCGGGGGTCTGATGTCCCTGCCTACACCTGACCACCTGGTAACTATCATCTCCTTCTCCTCAGGTTCCAGTGGTTCTCCTGGCCCACGAGGTCCCCCAGGTCAGTGTGCTATTGCTTATAAGTAGATACTCTTTCAGAGGGGCTGGCATGGGATCTCCCAAGGCCTGGTGACCTCAGGGGCAAGGATGGACCAGGGTATTGCAAGGATGTGAGTCCCTAGAAAGCAACTCTTGAACCTGTACTCCTGTGTGCTCATGTGTGTGTCTGCACGGCTTCCTCTGTTTGCAGGCTCTGCGGGTCTCCAAGGGATCCGAGGTGAAGTGGGCCTCCCTGGTGTCAAAGGTAAGCAGGTAACCCAGGCAGGCAGAATGCCTCTCCCTGCAGAAGGGGGTCAGGGCAGCCTGATGAGCTCGCATAACAGCCTGTTCAAGCCTCGGGGGTGTGATGGTCAGACCCAGACGCTGTCTCTTCTTAGTCCTGCCTGCCAGGGGCTTTATGTCAGCGTGCCTGTTTCTTTTCAGGTGACAAAGGGCCCATGGGACCGGCAGGACCCAAAGGTTGGTTGCTGCTCCCAATGCTGCTCAGACATCCCCCTCCTGCCCGACTCCTGGGAGCCCAGAAGTGACCCCACCCCAGGCCTGAGAATGCAAATAACTCCACTCTTAGACCTTGAAACAAGGCACATTCCAGCCCAACTTCTCAGATAGAAAAACTGAGGCACAAAGGGGGTGACAAATGCCAGTGTCACAGTGCTAAGTTTGGGCGGTTGGTTCTCTGGGTGGCAGTGATGCAGCAGCGAGGCATCTGCCCTCTGGCCTGGGCCCCCTCGTGCCCGTGTGCAGTGGGTGTGGGGTCACCCTGTCGGCGCTCCCTGGGCTTCATCGCTCCCCAGCCTTCAACAGCTGCCGTGAACACAGTGGGAATGATCCTGCAGCTACAGAATCTGGAGGCTGGGGAGACTGGTTCCTTGCTCTTGACTGAGGCTTCCTGCCCCCCAACCCTGTGTTTGTTTTAGGTGACCAGGGTGAGAAGGGACCCCGAGGTCTCACAGGTCAGTTCAACACAGAAATCTACTTTGGTCTATTCAATGCATTTTGTAAATCCAGCAGGCAGTGATAGTAGGGGGAAAATATAGCAGTATGAGACAGACTCTGACCTTAAACCAAGGGAACTTGCCGTCTAGGAGCAACACAGATGAGATCCAGTAAAGGACTGATTGCAAATAAGCCAGAGTCAAAAAGGATAGTCTAGATAGTACGTTTGGAGCAGAAAAGGGAGCTTATGATTTTTTTTTTTTTTTGGTCTGATCCTTTTGGGAAAATCCAGTTGGGGAAATTAAGCACTTTCCACGTAGCACAGTGTGTAGTGCTCACGCCTTCTTAGCCAACAGCTCTCTGTGGCCAAGATGGACTCATGCCCTTCAGGCCAGGTGTGGCTTCCAAGCCAGTCAGTGCCTGCTGCACGGGGCAGCGGGGCCTTGCCACTAGAATCACAGCCAATACTGCATCCTCGACCTCAAGTTGGCACCCCAAGCTCCTCTAAATGGGGAGGGGGCTGGTTTGTCGGGGTGGGGGGAGATAGGGAGTGTTGAAGCTCACCCTGCCTTGGTTGAAGCACGGAGCTTGAATGCCTCCCAACAGCTCGTCCATATCTATTGCAGGGGAGCCCGGCCTGAGAGGTTTGCCTGGAGCTGTGGGCGAGCCTGGGGCCAAAGGAGCGATGGGTGAGTGTCCCGAAGGAGCAGGTGCAGTGGGTCTGCCTGTTCCGGCCATCACCAGACCCAGAGAGTTGGGAGCCTCTCCTGCTCGCGCAGGCCATCACAGCAGTTGCTGCCTCTAAGCCACCCAGGCCCGGAGGGAAGACAGTCAGGAAGGTCCCTTTTCAGGCACAGCCCTGACGCCCCAGAGCGGCCCTTGAGCCAGATCCAAGGTTCAGCCATCTGCTGAGGTTTATGCAGGACTCTGTGCTGGGCTGGCCAGATGCCCCTTCCCCCAAGGACAGATAAACTGGCACTGGTGACAGGTGGCACGGGAAGTTCAGGATGCGCTGAGCACACGGCAGAGAGCCATTCCATCCAGCTAGGATGGGGGAGGGATGCCCTATCAGGTGGCTCTAGAAGTAGGCAAGAGCTTACTCACCATTGATTTGGGAAGTTCCATGGAGAGACAAACTGCAGCCACATGAGTGAGAAAAGCCAAAGAGGTGGAAAAGCAAGACATGGTCCCAAGTGTTTCCAGAGGTCAGGGCAAAGCCTGGGGCAGAGGCGGCAGCACTGGGGAACCCTGACTGCCACCCCTGCGTCAGCGAGGCTGTCGCTGGGACCTGAGTCCTGCCACGGACACTGGAGTGGTTGGATGGTTGTTAGCAGAAAAAAGACACTTCCTAGCTTAGGAGCAGGCAGGGAGAAAGCTGCTTCCAGGGGGCGGGACAGAGACGGGCCTCTTCCCTGGGTGAGAGCATGCGAGAGCATGCGAGCCCCTGGGGGGCTCCCCACCTTGCCCCCACCCAGCTTGCGGCCTCCAGCTGGGCAGTAAGGGGGTCCTGAGTAACTGAAGAATTTGCTTCTGCCTCCCAGGACCTGCTGGCCCCGACGGACTCCAAGGCCCAAGAGGTTGGTCGCTGTGCTCCCACTCTCTGCTTCCCCCCAGCACGTTCCCTGCCCCACCAAGCCCCAGGGACAGCCCCCAAACCTCCTCATCATAACGCTAGAGAGGCCCGACCTGCGCAAACGGGCACAGTCCAGGTCTTGCCTCCCGCCTTCCGCCTGTCAACAAGAAGCTCACCTGTCAACTCCAGGAAGTTGTCTGCGATGCCAGCCGGTTCCGCTTTCCTAAAAAGCAATCGTGGCCATACTGGTCACTCTGTCTCTAGGCGAACAAGGTCTCACCGGGATGCCTGGAACCCGCGGCCCTCCGGGACCTTCTGGAGACCCAGGAAAGCCAGGTAAGTGGGCAGGAAGAGGGAGCCAACCCTGCTGTGTGGCTCCGCTGTGCCTGTGTGTATCCGTGTGGGTCTCACTGTGTGACTGGGCAAACGCCCTTCCCCGTCTCCCGCTAGCTGCGTGCCGCAGCTATGGGCCCTGACACTGCCCATGCCTGGCAGCTTGGAAGAGAGAGATCAACAGCTGGAAGCGACGGGCTCTAGAAAGGAACAGGAGTCTCTCTCAAACTGTAGTTGAATGTCACCTTAATACCTTGCTCCCTGAGCCCATCCCTCCTGCCCACGTTGGACCCTCGGCGGTACTCACTGATCTGCAGAGAGAAGCTGTATTGGGGTCTCCAGCAAAGGCCTCACAGGAGCCAGAGCTGCAGGGCTGCAGGAAAACAAGAAGCCTGGGCAGCTGCAAGGGCGAGGGAGCTCCTAACTGGCCTCTGAGGAGCCGGGGCTCTCCTGGCTCCTGGGGTGTGTGCCAAGAGCAAAGGAGGGAGCCTGGGACAGCGTGGGGCGGGGGGCTCACAAGTGTGTGAGCCTTCGGGGTCCGTGGCTCTCAGAGTCCGAAGGGTCTGTGACCCTACACAGGCTCACCCGGGGAGCAGTGGCTTGCTTCACAGCAAAGCCCAAGAGCTGCTTGACTGGGCCCTGTGAGGGAGGATGCAGGAGTCCAGCTGCCCAGATAGGGGCTTTGCTGCCCTTCACCCACCTTCCTTCCACCTGCTCCTGCAGCCCAGACCGCCCCTCCCCACCCCCATGCTTGCTCTGGTGTTTTTATTTTCCGTAGGTCTCACGGGACCCCAAGGACCTCAAGGTGAGTCAGCAGTCACTCGGGCCTCCAGTGCCACCTGCCCGCCTCCCACTCCCACCTTTCCCTCTGTTCATAGCTGCTTCTCTTCATTCGCTTAGAGCCTGCTCTCTGCTGGCACTGCCCCCGCCAAACGGGGCTCAGGCCCTGACTGTGAGTCTTGAGAACTACTGTAGGGAATAGAAAAGCGCACAGAGCAATGCAGAAAGCCATTCTGGTGAGAACGAGGCTAGGCCATGTCTATGCCCTATTCCCCTTTGGAGCGGGAACCCCAGGGAGGACCCTGGCCCAGGAAACCCATTAGCGCTCCAGAGGCCCCGTCCCCACTGGCGGGGCAGCGAGCGGAAACTCGCCTCATGCCAAAGGGCCTGGTTTCTTGGGGACAGCACCGTGTCAGGGTCTGCCACAGTTGGGCCTGTGTGCACCCAAGGGCATTTGAGACACTGTGCCCACCCCGGTCCCAGCTCCTAAAGGAAATTAGGCAAAGATGTGGGGTGGAATCAGCTCCCCACAAATTTGACCCAGGGACATCCTTCATATGCTCCCTGATGGGGAGCTCAGTAGACAGAGGAGAGGGTGAGGGTCTTAGGTCTGCTACAGGAAGCCCAGTCCTGAATTCCCTACTCTTCTCGGGAAGTTATGGGGCTTCATAACCCAGGGGCATGAAGATCCCCCACAGCTGAGTCCATGGGCCTCCACTCCCTTAAGCCCAGTAACCCCATTTCCCAGAGCGGGAGCTCAGAGCAAGAGGCTCCCCTTGGGGGCCTCCTAGGTAGAGCAGACAGCAGAGCCAGGAAGGCCTCAGGCCGCAAACAGGATTGTGGCTGTGCAGGGTGCTGTCCTTAGTCACTACTCGCAGGTGTCAGGAACTGCTAGGCCTTAACCATGCTCACTTACTGGTTTTCCATCCTATCAGGACTTCCTGGTGCCCCCGGTCAGCCAGGGACTAAAGGTAAGGGTTTTCCAAATTCTTCCTTTCACTAGCTATCTTTGCAGGAGTGGGGGGATTTACAGGTGGGAGGGTCCTCTCTGACCAGAGCCTGGATCAACAGTGGCATCTAGTGGCATCTAGAGCACAAGGCTGCGATGCGGAGGAGCCCAGGGATTTGTTCTTGATCCTCAGTTCTCTCTGTGCCCCCATACCTCCCCACCCCACAATCTTCAGGCCTTTTGGCACCCAGAATATCTCCAGGCTGCTGGAGAGGATCTGTGAGGATGGAGCCTCTCCTGCAGGTTGCCTCTAAAACAGCCCAGTACTGCTCTGCCTCCTGCTCATGCTTAGTCCCTGACAGGCACGGCCTTCAGCACTGCCTTCACCAGGAGTGCCTGGGCACTCCTGACCCTCTGTGTGAGGGGGCCTTGAATAGCCCAGAAGGGAGAAACATCCAGATGCTACTTAGAATACTTAAACGTTGTGCTGACCAGTTAGATGACTTATGAGGTGACCCAACACTCAGAGTGGGTGGCACTCCTGGCCTGTTCTGTACCAGGACACCCAACTCTGTGCCAGTCCAGGGGTGACCAGTGCTCAGGGACTGACCTTCCATAGTCCTTGAGGCCCCACACTCCTGGCCCCTGATGTTCTGAGGAACTGCAGTCTTTCTTGAGCGGTCACTGTCACCTTTGGGGGACATAGTTTCTGCTTTCCAGAAACTATTTCCAATGACTGCATAGACCAAGGAGTTCTTTCAGGATAAACAAATGTAATTCCACCATAATAACAACATCCCAGACACACAAGCCTCTGCTCATGTTTTGATGGCACCTTATTAAGCACAAGATTTGGGGAGTCCCTGCCAGGGGAAACTGGGCTCCCCCTGGACAAGAGGAGGAACTTTCACCTAATGGCAGACTACAGTCCAGACCAACTCAGGTGCTTCTTCCTCTCGCCCTGAGCAAACCTAGCAGAGGCCATTTGGCCACTTTGCCTAGGGGAATCAGTATCTTCTTGTTCGGATGACTGCTTCGCCCTACACCTTAGGAAATGACTTGAGGGTCCCTCACTCACCTGGTTCATCTGAGTCTGTGACTCTCCAGGCCCTCTAGGTGCCTCTTGAAGAAGCCTCCAGCAGTCAGTGAGTTTAGGGAAGTGTGAATCGGACATTTCCTTCTTCTAAGTGCCCTGTCCACGTTTGCATTTTTCAATCTTTTAAGACGTGAGCAGAACAGAGATCTCAACCATTCAGGCACTCGGGATTTCCCAGACTGTCAACCACAGACTCCCTTTAACTCCATACAGCCCCCACCACACACCCCAGCACTCTGGGAACATGCTCACAGCCTCTGTCCTTTGACCTCTGGGCCTGTCCCTACCCGACTTGACTCTGAGGACGGGCCTGAGACGCCCAGGTGGTAGAACCCGCGTGTGGGGCACAAATGGCTGAATTGTTCTTCCTCCAGCCTCACTGAAGGCAACCTCAGCCGACTGTCCATGTAGCTCTTCCCGAGGTCTCAGCCTCTTCCTAAAGTGAATGTGGGCCAGGAAGATTGATGCTCCCGCCTCCTCCAAGGGCTCTGGCAGAGAGATTGGTGCTTAAGGCAGCAGAGTGCTCCCCTTCAGTTCATTAAAATGCCTTTAGCCTGAAGGCTAGAGGCCTGGAGTGGTTCTGAAATGCAATCAGAAGACTTGGGGATGACTTACTGAGCCACTAATTGATCCCGGAACAACCGCTGTCCTCTTCCTCCCATTCCAGGTGAGCCAGGAGCTCCAGGCAGGATCATGACCTCAGGTAGGCAGGCTCCGGCGTCCTCCTTCTCATGCCTTTCTCTCTCATGAACAGACTCCTGCCCTGGCTCTGCCTCTCACCCTCTCCAAAATGCTAGTCTGGGGGTGGGGGTACAGTGCTTTGGACAGGATGCAGGGCTGAGCTCTTGGGATAACTATTGAGGCGGGTGGGGGGGTAACTAGAAGAAACGATAGAAAGGCACTGACCCAGCTCCTTGCCTCGCCCAGATCCCAAAGCCTCGAGCCAGCAGAGTGGGGCTCAGGGTTCTATGTGCCTTCTATTTCAGAGGGGTCATCGACTATCACCGTCCCAGGTCCCCCGGGACCTCCTGGAGCCATGGGACCCCCAGGACCGGCAGGCGCCCCAGGTCAGTTCGATTTCTTGCTTTGCCCCAAATCAGCAGCAAGTAGTACAAGCATTTGGTGGCAGCAGTGTTTACTCAAACCCTGAAGCCAGGGCAGGAGCCCAAGAGCAGAGTAAGGGAGGGTGGAGAAAACCCCCTCCCGGGCTGCCGCAGCCCCGACAGGCGTCCCACAGCGCCACGGAGGCTGGAGCAGGCCCATGACAGTCTGGGCTCACTCGCTGAGGAGCAGTAGAGGGAGGGCCTGGCCCAGGTCTTCTGCCTCCAGGGCCTGCGGATTGACCTGTCAGAGTGCTTGGCCCTGAATCATCTTCTCTTAGAAACAATCTGATAATGTACATCAAGGGCAACAAAAATGCTGGGAGTCGATTTGAAGAAAACATCCCCAAATTGTCCAACAACAAAAATGGGGAGACTGAAAGAAAGTAGTTAGGGATAGCAGCTTCTTAAAAGAGCAAGCTACTGGGTAATGTGTCCTGTGGTCGCAACTGTTTTCACAAGGTTAAAAAAAAAAAAGATGCTGGGAAGAAATTACAAATGAATCAAGTTAAAGAAGTCAAGCTGGTACCTTTTTTCTAATTTTCTGAAATGCCTGTTTTGTTACATCTACTCCTAATAACCTTTTAAAAATGATGTGTAAATGAAATACATGACTTAATATGCCCTACGTAAGTGTGGACCAGCCTCCCGCCTGATGTTCCAGTGGCGGGAGGTGGGGGGCACACCTTGAAGTCCTCGTGTCCAAGGATGTGTCAGAATGTCAGAAAGGACAGTTGTGCCTGTCCCGGGGCCCAGCTCAGTGGGGGATTTGTCACCGGACGCCTGGTCTTGGTGCTCTCACACAAGCGAGCTGACTCTGAGGGCCGCTCTCCATCCTGGTGAGCAGCGGCCATGTGCCCAGGCACCTCGCCCTTTAGAGCTGTGAATCTGGAGTGGGATAGAGCCCTTCTTCCCCACCCCCGCTTATAGGTCCAGTTGGCCCAGCTGGTCTCCCAGGACAGCAAGGTAAGAGACCAGCCATGCCTGAATGAAGGCGGGGCTGTGGGCTGTCTCGGGGAGGGCTGGCTTCAGGCTGGAGAAGGCCTGTCTTTAAGAGAAGGGAAAGGGTGTGTCTTGGGATGCAACATGCCCCTCCCCAGGGGCCTTGCCAGGCCTCCACAGCAGCGAGAGACACTGCCTCTCACCCCGTGTACATTTCTGAGAGCAGAGTCCTCGGGACAGGTAATTGAAGGTCTGTGGTCCTCGCATCAAAGACAAGCTCCGCTAATTCCACTGGCCCGAGGCCTCTTGTGACCAGACCTTGATAATCGTGCCCCTGGGTTGATTCTGATGGCACCCAGAACTTCACTCAGCCTCACCAAAGCCGGTCTGGTGCCCCTGGGCGTGCTGGCACAGCCAGGAAAGCTGCAGCCCATTCCTGGCTGCAGCCAACTTCTGCCCAGCACCTGCCCCCCCCACTATACCCCCCCGCCAGCCTCCACTGAGGGCAAGTACTAACCTATGGGTGCAGACGGCACCACCCCAACTCTGTTCCCCCACAGGCCCGCGAGGGGAGCGTGGACTCGCTGGCGAGTCGTTCTCGAGCAGCTCCATCTCTGAGGTCCTCTCCTCCCGTGAGTGTGTGCTGCAGGTGGGGAGTGGGAGGCGGCGGTGGCTCACGCCTGTGCAGCTGCGCCAGTGAGTCATGGCCAGCCCAGCCGAGGTCAGAGGATGACGGTCCCGGGAAAGGCAATGCTAGCTGAGAAGCAACAGCAGAGGTTTTGTCTGCTGTGAGGGATGAGTCACTGAGATGAGACAGCTGTCAGTGAGGTCTTGGGATACCAGGGTCACCCTGGGCCTCTGAGGTGAGCTGGGTGCTGGGAATGCCACTGGCAGGCATGCACCCCACGTACCTCGGGAGCACTGATTGGGGCCAGTGGGTTGTTGGTCATGGCCTGGCCTGGGGTGGCTGACCCCTGGGCCCTCCAGTTCTTAGCCCAGCTGAGATGCCATGGGACCCAACCCCCGGGTCCTGAACAGCAGAGGCAACACCAGTCCTGAGATGCACCACGGCCTCTCACTAGTTCTCCACAAGCCGCCTGTGCTGCAGCTTCTCCTGCCTCTGCCTGAAAGAGGTCAAGGACTTGCTGCTCACCAGCCAGAAGTGATGGAGCAGGGACTTGGGCTTAGGCTGTCATACTCCGTTCTTATGCTTCATTCCATACCTGCCAGCAGTTATCAGGAAGCTTGACAGCTGCCCCACCTTCCTGTGAGGAAGGGGCACCCCGAGAAGAGAGGGTCCCAGAGGGTGCCTGCCAAGGCCAGGGCCTGTACCTGGGCTGAGTGTAGCCAGGGCACCTGGTATAGATGATCTGGTGACCTCATGACATGCCACCTATTCCATTTTCTTCTTTCTGCAGAGGGTCTTGATTTACGAGGTCCCCCAGGCCCCCCTGGGCCACGTGGGCCGCCAGGTGAGCATCTCAGGGACTTTCAGAAGGTGGGGATTTTGGAGGATGGGGACCCATGGCCAGTGAGGAAGCCAAAACCCCGTGGTCTTGGGTGACATGAAATTCAGCATTGCCTCTTCTGCAGGACCTGCCATCCCAGGCCCACCAGGACCCCGAGGCCCAGCAGGTATGAACTGAGCTCCCCGTAGGAGATGGAAAACTGTGACCCAGGGACCAGGCTTCTTCTGGCCCCCGATACTTCCCTGGGCAGAGGGTTCCTGACCCACATCTTAGCATTTGCAAGTGTCGTGTTTCTTTTGTCTAGGGGAAGGCTTGCCAGGCCCACCAGGCCCCCCAGGATCTTTCCTGACCAGCTCGGGTAAGCCAAGGCACACCTGTTCTCCACCTCAGCCCCATCCCCATGTGCTATGGTCAAAGTGTGTGACCTACTCACCATGACTCCTACTCCTGACTCCGGTGGGGTGAAGGGGTGTTTACATAAACTCTTGCTGCATGCGGAAAGTGTGATTGATCCCAGCCCAGATGCACCCTACAGTCTCTGGTAGCCTCATCTGGAAGAAAGAGCAAGTTCAGCCCTTATGAACTGGCTGGGGAGACCCAGTTCCTATCTTCAGGTAGCCCAGTTTTGATAAAATAGGCAGAACATGTAGATACGAGAAGAGATGCTGGCAGTACAACATAGAAACCAATGAAAATAGCTTCAGGACACACATTAACTCAGAGCTTGTTCCTAATGACAACCTCGTCCATTCACTCATGCCCTCATCTATTTACCTAAACATCCCTCCAACCATCCATCCATCATCACCTCCTTTCATCCATCCATTTATTTCTCCATCTCTTTAACAAATATTAATTGAGCATCTACGAAATGCCAAGCATTGTGCTTGGCCCTGCTCTCTCACAACTGTTACCATGTCCACACTCAAAATCTATTTCTTTCCCCAGGAGAGAGCTTCTTCTCTGGCCCTCCAGGCCCGCCTGGGCCCCCAGGACCCAAGGGAGACCAAGGTGAGAATCAGTGCCTTATGGAGTGCAGGAGCTGAGATGTGCCCCTGCTTATCCGCCTGGGGCAGGAGAGTTTGGGTGAGGCCAGATGAGTGTTTCTTCCTCCTGCTGCCATATGCCACGAGGAGTTCAGCAGCCTGGTGCATGGGATGGGCAGGAGCTCTACAAAGAATTTGCACCCCTGTTGGCCTAGTGTAAGGAGAGACACACAAGGAGCCCCAAGCTCCGTGTCTGCTCAAGCTCTACCACATGGACCCCTTGAAACCACAATACCTGGTTGGTATGAGTCACAATTCTCTGCCTCCTTCCCTCAGGTCAGCCTGGCCAGAGAGGGATAAGAATGTGAGGATACGTTCTCCTTCAAAGGGAGCATAGGTATCCTTGCAGAAATAGGACTATGGGACATGTTCTGATAAATGTGGTTGGTGTTAGCCAGGGAAGCCTTCCTGGAGGAGGTGATGCAACAGTGCTTTCGCATTTTGGATTCTAGGTGATCCCGGAGTACCAGGCATTCCTGGTGGTGTCTCTCAAGGTAAGAATCAAAAGTCACCAAAGTTCCTCTCGCCTTCTTTAAGCAAAGTCAGTTATGGCAGTGAGAGCATTGCTTTACCATTCATTCATGTCAGTGCTGATTGGGTATCTCCCAGGAGTGCTGACCTGCCTTTCAGGAGGTTTCAAGTTAGGGGACAACAGAAGAGAACCCAGGGAACTAGGGGTGTTGAGATGAGGGAGACGATGTTGGGGAGAAAAGAGCAGGGAGCTGAAAGAAAGGGGATGTTAGCAGGGGAGAGGTTCCCATCTCTGGGCCCCTTTCTACAATCATTCCTTCCCTCTCTTTTGTGGGGACCCTTCTCTTTGCTGCTGCGCTATTTCTCCCATGAAGAAGGACCCTCCTCAGACTGTAGTAGGAGAGGCTGGACCCCTCTGTCTGACCCCAGAGTGGAGGAACCAACTCGGAGACTTTCTTTCCCGCAGGGGGCTCCTCGAGCACCATGTTCATGCAGGGCCCGCCAGGCCCACCCGGACCCCCCGGACGCCCTGGCTCCATCAGCAGCTCTGGCTTAGAGATTCAGCAGTACATCTCTGACTACATGCAGAGTGAGCGCTGGGTCAGGGTGTGCCTTTGTGTGTGTGATGGGTGTGGACAGTGTGGGGGTTGGGGGGCGTGTTGGGTGAGTCTTCCGCCCTGGACTGTGGGTCGTGACCAACCCTGAGACCCACCACCACAGAGCTGCCCACACATGTCCTCCTGTGTTAATCCTGATAGAGCCTCACACTCCCACACATTCGTCCACAATGGTGAATGGGTTACCCACAATCCTCATGAACCACCTGATCCAGCACAGGCCCTGGCCTCAGTTTCTCCATCTGTAACAAGAGGTGTCTAGTCTCCCCGTCCAGGCCCCCGTGTTGGGGTGGGCCTGCTTTTCATCACGCTCTTCAGGTCACTTGCGGGAGCTGCTCATGCTCTCTGGAGAGAGGCCTGACTTGGCAGTCTTTCTTTGTTCACAGGTGACAGCATAAGGTCTTACCTTTCTGGAGTCCAGGGCCCCCCTGGTCCCCCCGGCCCCCCAGGGCCCGTCTCCACCATCACCGGTGAGACTTTCGACTACTCGGAGCTGGCGAGCCGCGTCGTGAGCTACTTGCGGAGTAAGCCTCTCCCGGCCCGAAGCTTCTTCCACCCGAGCCCATGCCCACGCCTGTTCCGGAACCTGGTCTGCTGTGGGCTTTGCCTTTTTCTGGACATGTTTGGTCCTGAACTTGCCGTCACAGGCCCCAGGATGTAGTGTCTAGAGGGCTTGTCTGCTTAAGAGCAGAGCCAAGCACAGAGCCTTCTCGTGCTTGAGGCTGGACACATGTCCTCGTAGATGAGCCTGCTGGTAGGGGTGTTTCTTACCAGACAAAGCAAGTGTACACTGAATTTTTTTGAACTTTTCATGCTTTCAAACTAACCTAACATCTCCTTCATTTTCCTCAAACGGTAATAACTAGTTGACCAGGTCTGTGACTTTGCTGTAAGGAGGGGTGCTGCTCCAGCACAGGCCAGGGTAACATGAGGTTCCCTCCCCAACAGCTTCGGGCCAGACCATCAGCTCCTCATCATCGGGCTCCATCTCCTCTGACGACATCCTGGCAGCGCTACAGCGTGAGTCACCGGGTAGCTCTCGAGAGCCAGCCTGGGGGGATCTGGCTGTGGGGATCAGGCATCCTGGTGGGGCGCCACTCTTGGTGCACCCATCTAGCCCAGCCTGTCTTTTCAGGTGATGATGTGCGGCAGTATCTACGCCAGTACCTGACTGGCCCACGGGGACCTCCAGGGCCAACGGGAGGCGGTGGAGATTGGTCCCTCCAGTCTTTGGACTACGCAGAGCTGAGCAATCGCGTCCTCAGCTACATGTCAAGTGAGTATCTGCCGGCCGCAGCAGGGTGGTCAGCAGGGTCTGGGTTGAGGGCTGTCTGCTGGCCCAGGGGTCTCTCCTGCCAGGCTGCCCCACACCCAGAGGAACTGAACACTCAGAGCAGGTCAGGGAGCCACAGTCAGGGGCTTGGAGACCGTCCTGCATGAGGTTTGCCCTCTCCTATACTTCTCTGTGGAATACACCCCCAGATGGCAGCAGGAGAGGGAGATGGTGCCTTTCGGCCTGCTGTCTGCCTAGGACTGAGGCGTCACCCAACTTTCTGCCTGTCTCTTCCTGATGCCCTCTCTTTTCCCTTTCTTGAACCCCACTGTCCACGTGACTTGTTCTCCTTCCTCTCTGGCAAGGTGTCTCCATCTGCCTTTTCCTGCTTGATGTGACCCCATCACAACCTGGCATTTTGTCCCTCAGGTTCTGGGATCAGCATCGGGCTTCCTGGCCCTCCAGGACCCCCTGGTTTGCCGGGAACTTCCTACGAGGAGCTCGTCTCCTTGCTTCGAGGTAAGGCTGGGCAGGGGACGTCTGTTCCGGCGGTTCGGGACATAAGGCAGGGCACCTGGCCCAGGCTGTGTCTGACTCTACTTCTCCTCGGCGGCAGGCTCTGAATTCAGAGGCATCGTTGGACCCCCTGGTCCCCCAGGGCCACCAGGGCGCCCGGGCAGCTCGTGGTCCAGCATCAGCTCGGAGGACCTGTCATCTTACCTGCACTGTGAGGCGGGAGAGGTGCAGGGGTCAGAGGCTGCAGCCTGGCCTTGGGGATCCTGTAGAGAGTTAGATCCATTCATCAGTCACCAAGTCATCCTGGCCCCTGTGCAGGGCTGGGCATGGGAATCTGAAGAGGGCACATTTGCTTTTGGGTGCTTTCAGTCTTGGTGAGGGAGAGTTGGGAGAGACTGTGCTCTGGGTACAGCCCTTAGGGGGTTTGTGAGCCCCGAGTGACTGGGTGCCAAGCTAGTCTCCTACTCTCGGGGCAGAGGGACTGAGGGGAGTGGATATGACTGGGATTAAATGAGGTTCAGGACTGGACCTGGGAAGCACAGTCCTTCCCAGATGCCAGCAAATGGGCGATTCCTCTACCCTCCCCCACAGGAGCCCACATGGGGCCCTGAGCCCAGGCTGGGAACTCAAGGGTTCTCAGAGGTGAGTGCTCATCTTTCTCTTGCCTCCCTTTCAGCTGCTGGCTTATCATCCATCCCAGGCCCCCCAGGGCCCCCTGGCCCCCCAGGCCCTCGAGGGCCTCCAGGTGTCTCAGAAGCTCTGGCCACCTACGCCTCTGAAAACAGCGACAGCTTCCGGAGTGAGCTCATCAGCTACCTCACAAGTAGGTGCACTGATACTGCTGCCTTTCTGTGCCCCCTGCCCGGATCTCCAGTCTCCCTATGAGGGGGCCCAGGTGCTTGCAGGAATTGAGCTCCCCTGTGCTCTCCGGCTGGCTCGTATGAGGGCCTGGAAGCTCAGATCCTGGATAGGGTCTCTGGGACCCCCACCTGAGCTCCCACTAATGCTGGTTCCTCCCAAAGGTCCTGATGTGCGCAGCTTCATTGTCGGTCCCCCTGGCCCTCCGGGGCCCCAGGGACCACCTGGAGACAGTCGCCTGTTGTCCTCGGAAGGCTCCTACAGCAGGGGGAGCAGATCCTCCTCCCACAGCGGAGACAGCTCCTACAGCAATTCGATGGGCATAGGAGGAACCAGCGGAGGCTACCTTGGCGAAAGCGGAGCATTTGGCATGGATACGGGCCGGGGCTATGGGGCAGCAGCAGAAGGCGGAATGTATGGTGGCCATGGTGGATCATTCCGGGCTGATTTTGCTGAAGGCCTGGACTACAACAAGCTGGCTGTTCGCGTGTCTGAGAGCCTGCAGCGTAAGTTGGGACACGGAGCCTGACTGCTGCGTGGCGGTGGGGGGTGATCATGTGAGCATCTTAACATCTGGTCTCCAGAAACTCACTCATGCATTTCGCAGCACCCAGGCTGTGAGAACACCAATTGTGGAACTAACTGGGCAACACGTGATCCCACCTGAACAGGAGGCCTCAAGCTGCTTCTCAGCCAGCTTAGGTCATGGGGCTATAGTCAGTACAGGGACCCATGCCGCAGGGAACAGAGCGCTTTAGGGTTTTTCTTCCGGGTGTCAGAAGAACCTTTCTGAATGATGGTTTCTGGTGGGGCTGAGGGAAGGTTGTTGGCTAAGTAGTCTTTTATCAACTTCTCATCAGAGTTATGTGGCTTTTGCCTTTGATGACAGCAGGTCAACAGTGGAGACACAGGAAGCTGCCAGGGCTTTTCCCTCACTGCGGCATAATCTGTCTTAATAGTGCAGTTAGGTGATCAGAAGGCCGTGCTCCCATTGGGAAGAAGGGTGCTGAGCGAGACTGCATCCTGTGCTCACACTCTGGTGTTTTCCAGGTCAGGGCCTGCTCCAAGGAATGGCCTACACTGTCCAAGGCCCACCGGGCCGGCCTGGGCCTCGGGGGCCTCCGGGAATCAGCAAGGTCTTCTCTGCCTACAGCAATGTGACACAAGATCTCATGGAGTTTTTCCGAAGTAAGGCCTTGCCCAGATTCTTTCCCAATACCTAATCTGTTGCACGGGGTCACATAGGGCCTGCTTCACAGGACCTATGTCCTGAAAAACCTCACTATAAACACTTGAAATGCTGAAAGTCTGATAAAGCTGTCTTCCTTTTAGAAGTCCAAATTACCACCCAAACTTCAAAATGATTTTGTGCCTAAGGCCTCTTTCCTCCTCCTCCTTGCAGCTTATGGAGCTATTCCTGGACCTCCTGGGCAGAAAGGAGAGATGGGCATCCCAGGACCCCAGGGTAAGTGCTAGCAGGGAACCAGGACCCTGCACTATACCCACCTCATGTCGCAAGCAGCATAGCTCCACCTGTGCTGCTTTGCCACTGTCTCCTCCAGGCCTTACAAGTGTGCCTCCCTGAACCTGTCTGTCCCGTCTCCCTAGGTGAGAGAGGTCCAGCTGGACCACCAGGTCGGCCTGGGCCACAGGGCCCTCGAGGGCATAAAGGAGAAAAAGGAGACAAAGGTAAGCAAGATGTGGCTGCCAGTTTTTGGAGTGCCAGGAAATCCATGTTTAAAGAAGCAGGTGATTTGTTCCAGAGCAAGCCTGAAAATTTAAGGCATCCTGGAAAGGCAGACACTGGGTGATTTGCATAATATAATCAAATAAGCATCTAGGGAGGGAGAAAGGAGAATGCTAATATAGGGAGGAAATGGAGAACCAATTTGGCCACTACAGGGGGTAAACAATTTGGATAGTCCTCCAAAAGAGTGCATCTCTCAAGTCAGTTTGGAAATAGTCACAGTTGTCATAATTGCCCAAGCTACAGTCCCACAGTGGCCACAAGATATTTTCTAACTTCCTACTCATCTTCTAACTTTAGGTGACCAAGTCTATGCTGGGCGGAGGAGGAGAAGCATTGCCCTCAAGCCCTGAGCTCACCTGACAAATAGCACCCTGGACCAGCTCTTGACAATGGCACACTTCAGTCTCTTCAGGGGTGAAAGCTGGAATCTATCAGGGTCCTACTGAGATGTATACCAACTGTCAAATAGAACCCCGGAGAGAGAGTGAATCAGTCAAGGAAACAATCTGAAGCCACATCACTAGATGGACTTTAGGACAGTTGGAGAATGAGACTGACTTCTCTGGCTTCTTTAACACTTAATTCAAGCCCCGACCTAGGAAAGGCACTTACATAAACATTGATTCAAGTGTCCATGAGCTTTGTCTAAAAATAAGCCCCTGAAATGAAAGCTGGGGATGGGGTTGCTTTCCTGGGTACACTGGGGTTTGTGTTCTGCCTGCAAGATTGTGTTATGGGTACCTTCCTCCCCATCGTTAGGATATGCTATGCCTCTCTGCATTCTCTAGTCACAGAAAAGAGTTGGCTAAGAAGCAACTCTTGCAACTGAAAAAAATTAAGAAATTGACTTCCCCTGAAGGTGGTGACAGGGTTTCTAATAGTTCTCACTAGATATCATATTCCCACTTGCTTAGAAAGTTTGATTGTAGCTCTGATCTGTATCAGTCCACAGTAGAGTTTATAGATATGTTAGAGTGAACTAGGCTGCAGCTAAAGGGAAAGGGCAATGGGCAAGTAAAAAAGGGAGAGCAGGGACTAGAGAAGACCTGATGCTGGGAAGAGATGTTACCTCTGTGCTACACTTAGGAAATGACATGCAGGATGGGGCTCAGTGGGTTTATAAGCACTTTCAATGTCTGAAAACATTTATGTGGTCTATTAGATGAAAAGTCATTTCAATTGTAATATTTCCAATTAAATATTTTTTTTCTTTTTTACTATGTTTGACTCTAATGTTATTACAAACAGAAAGAAGCAAAAGTGATTGTGGGACAGTTTTTAGCATTTCATCTAATCAATGAGATCTTTAAAGGCAGACCTTTCTCTGAAACTATTAACTCATCTGGCAAATCACAAAAAACATCTGAGGGTTTTACCAAAGCTAAGGTATTTTAAATAAACATATGCAACAGGGGAGCAATGAGATTTGCAATGAATGTAGTGATTTTTCTGGGGCAAAGGAGTTACGATTACAGTAATAAGTGGCATAACAAAACTACTTTGAAGAAATAATGAACAGATATCAAATGCCCCACAGAAATCCATAGTAAAATCAAGACACTCATGTTCCTAAGAGACTTTGCTTAGCCAACTTGTGAATTTGTCCCACAATCACACTGAGACTCAATTGGTGGAGAAGAGCTTCAGAATTTAAAAAAAATTTTAAATACAGTTAAATTAAATTTACGTCTACATCTTTAACTTTCCAAGACAGGTCTGCTTATTTTCTCTATAGCTGAATATTGCACATATTACCCAGAGGGGGGGAACCATTACTTTCACAACATCAAACACCACTAGCAACAATAGCACCGTTTTCTAGAGGGCATGAGCGCCTCCTTTACCCCTCACTGCTATCAATCAGTATGTGAATGCTCGAAAACTGAGAATTCGAACAACTTTTATTATCTAATCAAATCAGTATTACTGTATATAATAAGTGATGGCACTGTCCCTTTTTAACATTTTAATTTTACCTGAAGGCTGAATGCATTTATTTCTGTAGGGCTGGCTTTAGGGGATCAAGTATTATGTCCCCTTTAATGATTTTTATCTTAAAGAATTTTCTCCAGTTACTAGAATTACCTTTGGGTACAGAGTTCTATGGCCAAGTGAAACAGGGTAAAGTCCAGACCTGCTTCTTTCTCTGGACAGTCCTCAGCTGGCTACAATGAACCTGATACTCTTTTGTTTCATAAAAAGAAAAAAAAAGTTAAGAATGAACTTACAACAGGGTGCAAAGCTCCTAAATTAGAAAATGACAGGCGATGCCTCCCTCCAGATGCACTGAACACTAGCCAAGTGGTGTGCAAGTCTACTGAATCTTGCATGAACATATCAATGACAAACTTATTTTTAGCAGAAGTGAGATCGTGTGCTTTATGAAGTATTTAGTGAGAAAAATAACCTCTACCAAGGGAAAAAAGAAAATAAAAAAGATGTACATACACCTATGTTGATGGAAGTATCTCAAGTACCATCCCAAGGAAACACCTGCAGCCTGAAAGACACCTCCTAAGTCCCAGGAAAAACTACATTCCTGGGTGTAGGGATTGTATGGCTAGGAACTCTAAGTCTGAAAGTGTCAGAGGACCTGAGAATGCAAGTGCTAACCGGTAATTAAGACCAAAATAAGCTGCAAAATGCTCTAATGCAGGACAGTCTAGTTTCAAAATTCTGAATAAAAAAACCACTTCCCAAAATAGATTAAGAAATAACTTTATTTTTTATTTGTCAATCCCATGATTGAAAAGGCATGTTGCTACCAAACAGACAAGAGGCATAATCTTAAACAAAAATTCTTTCCGAAAATTTACTTGTGAAGACATCACACTGCAAATCAGAGAAGGATCGCAAAAAGCTGCAGCCACACTTAACAACTGGTATAACATTTTCCCAAGCTTAGTAGCAGAAATTTAAAGCTATTATCAAACCATGTCTGACACAGAATAGCAATAATAGAGGCATTAACTGTTGTGCCTTCAACTTAAGAAAAGCATTTAAAATATCCCATATCCTATAAAAGATCATTTCTCTGAAAAGAATGTATTTATTTAATCAGAAGACTATTAGAACTGGAACTAACTCTCCTCTTCCACCTCAGTTCTAAGTTTTCCTTTAATCGACTTTATCTTTAGCTAATCTTTTGACAGAATTTGGCTTCTTGGAAAAGTCTTTGTCATTTAAGCACAGTGTGGAATGGGAGAAAGTGTGTAGTTACAAGGGAACTAGGAGAGTATAAAAGACAGTCACTTCTGAAACTCGCTGATGCTCAAGAAATCAGAGACCCTCCATTAAAGAAAAGTCTCATATGCCTGAGAGCTTTGTGCTTGAGGAAACACTACTTAGAGGTAGCTCTGGTTCTGGTTTATACTTAATTACAATTTGCTGTATCCTGTCAAAGAAAAAGTTCCGATCAACAAAATAAAAGCACTCTAAATTTCCTCCTTACCCACCCTATAGTTTCCCCATAGGAAAGAGTAAGGAAAAGCTTAACTGTGACTCCATAGAGAATAGCAGCTAATTCGGCAATTCACACCCAATTATGGATTGACAGGACAGGAAAGGCAACCTGGTACAAGACGCTCTGTGAGCTAGACCTGCAGTGTGTGGTCTGGTGTTTTCACAGAATGCAGGGAGAATAGGGGAGGATGAGTAATTAGGATGCACATATGGGTAACTTCTTTTTTGCATTTCACAGCATGCTGCCATGGCAACAAAACAACCAAATCAGGAAAGGATTTGACTATACTCTGATTTCAAAGAAATTTGTGCCCCTTATCTACTCCCCAGCGCATTTCATGCAGTATCACTTACTACCTATTTGAATATACAGCCTGACAAGAAGTGGGCAGAGAGGCACACAGCATATCCTATGACAAAACACTTGCTGAAAAAAATGTAACTTTTAAGTATCAAATGAGTATTTCACCTCTATATATGTATCATTTTATAGTCCTGCATCCACATAAACCTGGTCATATTTGAAAGAGAACTCAAGCATACTGAATCCAAAGGGCAGTTTTAAGGGAGATGCAAGAGTTGCTAATAAACTTACCAGAATGTCAAATATCCTACTCTGAGCCCCTTCCTTTATTCAGTACTACGAATGTCCAGTTGAAAGAAAGGAAAAGAATCAAATGTTCAGACCAAATTATGTGCCAAATAATTTAGCATTCAGGAGATCACTTAAATGATACTGAAAACTTGTCCACTGCTTGAAGCATTATTTTTTAAAAAACCAAGAAACTCAAAATTTCAAATGAGAAAGTGGTACAAAAAGTACCTACTCTCTCCCTCTTAAAATAAAACATTAAATACTGGGCATTTTTATCGTAACAATATAAACACTTTCCATCATCATCCTGAATATTACTTTATAAAGATATACATTTTTAAAAGGCTTTCAAAACATTTTCCAACCCAGCTTTTGAGAATAAAGCATTAAGATTCTTGTATACAGTAACACAACCATGTGATAAGTGTATGAATTTACAACCATACATTATATATATATCTATGTGTGTGTGTAATATATATATATTTATATATATATATATATAAAAAAAAAAACTTGGCCAAAGTTAAGGCTACCTACAAAGTTTTCCAGGTAAATTATTTGTCAAAATAATTACAAAATTAAAATCACACATGCATTTTTAAATCATTTAAATGACTGACAAAATGAGGTTCAGCATCCGAAGTTTTCAAATTAACTGAAAGAAAGTGCTACAGATATTTACATTTTCTTAATGAATCAGTGTTCCCACAAAATTATATTTAAATTTTTTCACCAACCTCAAATGTAATATTACTAAAAACTGAAACTTCTACGATTTGGTACCTAGTATTCTTAAAAGAGGCTACATTACAAAGGGCAGGTAGCAAGAATCACTTACGAATGTGCTACATTGCACACCAAAGTACAGTTTATAATACTGCTTGACCTGACACGTGCTTGAAATTCTAAGCCTCAGAAGGGGCTAAGAGTGAACATTCATTTCATTAATAATTACACATATCAGCAACCACATGATAAAGGTTTCAGGCTTATCCCACTCATATCAAGTAAATAATTTAAACATGGAACAAAATATAAAGGATTTTATTTTAAAACAACAGTGATTTCTGACATTTGCCTAAATATTTAAATTCTTTTTGAAAAAGTATTCTGAACAAATGACTCTTAGATTAATTCAGAAAATACACTTATAAATATACATCAAGAGCTTGTAGGCCCCTGACAGAATTTTAAATGAACATAATTTGTTCAGATGAAGTCTTTTAATAAACTCACATATTATTTTATGAAATAAGCTGGGACAGCTAAATCTTTATTACTTTTAATTTGGTTACTCTCACATTTCCAACTTGGACACCTTAAGGTTATTTTTTCTTCCATCTTTCCAACTTTATACAGTATATATTTTAGGATGAAAATTTCTATCAAATGGGTTAGGACAAACATGATAATGCTTAATGTTAAGGGTATTTTGTTACTGTTGAATCAAAAGGAAAATCCTAGGTTGAAATTTAGTGTTTTAGGCATTATCTTAATAAAACTAGCACCTTAATTACAGCTCATGCCTAAACAAGAGTTATTTTAGACAAATTACTGAAATAAATTTTTTCTTTTTAAAAGAAGTTGTTGCTATTTAAAAATAAACTATAGTTACTGAATCAATCATATTTTGAGCAACTCATAACTTTTCTATGAGAGCTGATTCACCAAAAGAAAATTACTCTAACTTTTTACAGCAGTTTCAATTATAGAATTTAAGCATTATTGAGAAGTCAGGTAAAAAGACATTCAGTAATACTTAGTTATGTAACAGTTTTCTTTTTAAATAACTTTAAACATATCTCTAACAGTTTTTCAGATAACAATCTCCAGAGAATGTAATCTTTAAAAGTAATATACAGTATTACCTTAGGGAATTACTACAAGATGCTTCTTTGCCAACCTGGCCCAGCATCTGTCTTGGTTCCTCTTTTCCCTTCATCTTTGCTAATAAACAACAAAAAGCACCTAAAACGTGAGGGAGGTGATTGTCTTCATGAGCTCTCTGACATAGATTGTGGCAGAAGATGAAAGGATAGAACAACCTATTTCAAAAGCCAAATCCAAACACAGATTGCATTCATTCCACTGTTATGATCCAGTGGAATGCAAGCTAGGAATAGGATAGAATTTGGAAATCCGGCTCTGTGTTGATGGGTTAAGGCATTCAGACTCCCCCGTCATTTTAAAGAATACTTCCTGTTCCTGCAGCTTCCTCGCAAACTCTTCTTCCAGTGTCTTGAAAAGGAAAGGGAAAAGAAATTATGTGTTGACATTACAAAGAGAATTTACTCTAACAGTCCAGAGCAAACACTCCATATTTTACCCTAAGAAAAACTAAACTACTCAACAGTTAGGATTATAGGCCTAGGCTCAGCCATCTGAATGGAATAACTTGGGTCAATTACTTAATTTCTATATATTATAGAATTATTTAATTGTGCTGTAAAATAGTGATCATACTGCCAACCTCACTGGGTTACAATGAAAGGACTGAACATGATGATGTACATAACAGAGACTAGGCACTCAACAGATGGCACCTATTAATAACTATTATCTGTAGCTCCCATGGGGAACTTAGCGTTTTCTGTTTCATTTCAATTATTGATAATCATGTATTTTTTTTCAGCACTGGACAGTAAGCAGTTTGGAGGTAACACCAAGCAGATTCAGCTTTATGCTGCCACAATACAAAGCAGACATGGAAAGTACTTGTTAAGTGTGTTAAGTGTCTGAAATATCAATGACTGTGTAGCCAAAAATTTAGGGTTAGTGCTGCCATAGAGGTACAAAGTACAGGAAAAGATGGAAGGATACAGGAAGGTTTCTCAGAAAAGTTGAAACATGAACTTAACCTTAAAGGAAAGATGATAATTTGTTTGACTGGACAGGGAAGGAATGCCTGACAGAAGAAGCTGAAACAATGTGTAGAGGCTAGAAATCCCTGAGTTGGTGTGAGTAATGTGATTATACCTAGTACTTGAATATGAACTGGGAACAACATAGCTAGTGGGAAATAAAGCTAGAAAGGTTGGCTATGGAATGTGTAGTACTATATAAGCTTTAAACTTGGGTCAATGATTGATACTTCTCTTTATTGTTTACTTTTTCTGTTATAAATAGGGATAATACCATCTACTTTAATGAGTTGCTATGTATGAATTAAATATCATAATGATGTATTTAGTATGTACTAGGCATTCAATAGATGGTACCTATTATATTAACTATTATCTATCTCTGTGAGTCAAATTGTGGCATTTATATTTTATTCTGGTAAAACTGAAGATTTATCGACATCACTATGACAGTATCAGAGATATTCCTGTGAATAAATACTCTGGAGATGGAAGGCAAGTAGGAAGGAAAGGCAACCAGAGACCAGAAGGCCCACTGAATATTAACATAATTTTAAGCAATAGGATGACAGTAATAGAAAAGAGGATTGTTATGAAAAGAGTCAATATTCATTATCTGATTAGATATGGGGTACAAGAGAAATGAAAAATAATTCCAGTTTCTAAGCTAGATGTCAACTAAAGGAATAGGAACACTGGATAGAAAATCTGATATGGAGAGACCTGGACAGAGGTAGAATAGGTGAAATGGAGATGAAGAGAAAAGGATACTGAATTTAGTTTTATCTCCACCGAGTTTACATTCTGTAGTTCACAATGTATGGATCATTTGGCATGTACCAGGAACTGTTCTAGAAGCTGAGTATTTATCAGTGAACAAAGAGATACTGTTTGTGCTTTAAAAGAGCTTACATTCTACTTGGAGAAAACAAACAACAAAATGTATCTTGTGATGATAATGTTATAAAGAAAAACAGAAAGATAAGGGAATCAGAAAGAGAAATCTTTTATTAGAAGATATTGGAACAGGCCTGAATAAAATGAAGAAGAGTGAAACATCCACATGGAAAATGGGAGTTTGGAGCATGAGTCAATAGTAATAAAAAATAAATAGCAATAGCAACCACTTAGTTGAACTCTGTTTATAATCTAGGTATGAGGACAGAGTTATAACACATCATTTCTTTTAACTGTCTTAACAACTATGAATTTGGTAGGTTGTTACTATCTTCATTTTATAAATGAGGAGAATTGGGCTTAGAAATGTTCAGTAACAAAATTAATCAGTGTCAACACTAAGATGTGAACCCAGATTTTTATGACTTTAGATATTACTCTATATACAATCCCTACTAGACAAGTTTTGGAATTGTCTGTAACTATGCAACCACTGAAGCCAGGACTAGCTAAAGATCATAGAGATAAAGAAAAGAGCAACAGGTGACTGGAAGGAAAAGAGTGAATAAAGGTAGAGAAGAACAAAGTTATAACACCAAAGTCACATGAGCAGGCAATTTTAAGAAGCAAGGTTTTTAATGTGAACAGGTAGATGATGCTATAGGATTAGGTTATAAACAGCTCACTTGTCATCACTGTGAGGTGAAAGTAGGTCACAAAGAGTTAAACAATCTTGAGAAAGGGACTTTTCACTTTCTGTACCTGTGTATTCTGAGCCACATAACTATTAATACTAAATTTTATTTTTTTTATAACAGTTTATTTTTACATCATTTTGTACTTTTTTTTTTTAGCCATCTCAATTGTAATCCCTGCGGGTTTCCCATTACCAAGTCACCCATGTGCCATCACCATAATCCTGTGCATTTCCCTCCCCACCCCCCTGTTTTTGATCCCATTCCCCACTCCACCCTGCAAAATGTCTCTGATATATAGTTGTTCATTATTTTTGTTATTTTCTCGTCTGGTCCATTATACTCCTGTTATGAGTGAAACCATCCGGTATTTTTCTTTCTCTTTCTGGCTTATCTCACTAAGCATGATCTTTTCCAGCTCCATCCAAGTTGCTGCAAAAGACATGTGTTTCTCTTTTTTGGTTGCTGATTAATATTCCATTGTATATATGTACCACATCTTTTTTATCCAGTCATCTACTTTTGGGCATTTGGGCTGCTTCCATGTTTTTCCAATTGTAAATAAAGAAGCAATAAACATGGGGGTACAGGTATCTTTTTCAATCAGTGTTTTTGTATCTTTTGGGTAGATGCCTAGGAGTGGGATTGCTGGGTCGTAGGGAAGCTCCATGTTTAGCAGTTTGAGGAACCTCCAAACATTTTTCCATAGTGGTTGTACTAGTTTGCATTCCCACTAGCAGTGCAGGAGAGTTCCTTTTTCTCCACATCCTCGCCAACATTTATTGTTGCTAGTTGTTTGAAGATGCGCCATTCTCACTGGGGTAAGGTGGTATCTCATTGTGGTTTTAATTTGCATCTCCCTTATTACGAGTGATGTTGAACATTTTAATACTAAATTTTAAATTAAAAAGTCACATTATCAACTGACTTGGTCATTTTACTTCCTTTGGAAACCTTTAGAACATAGCTGGTGCTAGGTACATTACTTCCTGGGCTGATTGTCTGATTAGATGAATGGAAGAAAGGAATGGTGAAAACATATAAAGCAGGTGGGAAATCCGAGAGAAAATAACAAAGGTTTAAATCTGAGAGTTATTAAATAGAGAGGATCATTAAGTGCCAGCAAAAGCAGAGTTGAAGTGGTTGATCAGTTGGAGCAGGACAACAGGGAGTAAATTACAAATAGAAGAAATGGGTGCTCTTTTGCTTCACTGCCAACTACCAGTACACAAGGGCCTTGTAATCTGTCTCCAGTTGACGCCTTCAGTCTAAATTGCCATCACTTCCTTCCTTTCCCTCCCTAATGCCTATAAAGGCACATACTTCCCCTAATCCTCCAATGATAGGGAACTAACCATGATTCCTGTGTACATCATTTCCACTTATTTTCTTCTCTGTTTAAATTGCCCAGCCCTCAACCTGCCTGACAAGCAAACCCTTGAGATTACATGTCTTTTTTCCAAAGCTGCCCTGACTTGCACAGGCAAACTGAAGCATTCCTCCTCCTTTCATTGTACATGTATTCCTCTCCTCTGTGTCTTCTATTACTTTCTTCACAGTAATGATCCTACTGACCTGGAAATGTCTATCACTCAATTTTGAACTTTTGGAGGAAAAAGAACTTTATCTCTCCATTTCAGAATATCCCACTCTTGAGACTATACTTGACTTTTATTTAATAAAAAGCCAATACCTGGGTGGGTGGGTGGGTGGGTGAATGGACAGGCAAAAATACATTTTAAATAAAGCTGTTAAAATTACCTTTTTTCTAGGTCTTAATTTCTCTCTCCATTCCTTTAATTCTTGGCTGTGTTCCTCATCTAGTTCCTTTAGTTTCTGAGTCTCATGTTCAACCAACAGGTGGCATTTCTCATTCTGAAAGTAAAGTTTGGATTAAAGAAATTTCACACTGATTTGGCAATTTTTCACAAATTCAATAATCTTCCAAAATAATAAATTACTCATCAAACATCAAGTTAGTTCTGAGGCCTGAATTCTCCTCAAGAAACAAGACTATTATGAAGAGTCATAGCTCCATTCTTCAAGTTAGGAACTAGATCTTTAACTATATGAAAAGAACTTAAATAGAAATAATTAGTTTGATCCTATTTTTCCTTTCTAAAAAAGTTTGCTTATAAAACTGATGCTTCAGGTAAATGTTTTCACACATTTTACCTACTAATACTACAGTGAGAAATTAGAAACTATTCTGGGAAATAGTAAAGCAATGAAATATGTATTCACAATTGCTATTTTAAACATTTTAGACTATATATTAGGTACGCTGCATACTCCAGATAAAACCTCAAAACAGTAGTCTCTAAAGTAACCTTTAATTTTCTTTTAAGAAAAATTCTCATATAGTTTATTATATTTTTCAAACACCTTGAAGAAAATGAACTATTTCAGAATCTGATACAAAGCTGCCCATATCATTTTGAAAACTGTTCATCTTCTTTGCAAAATAAACAAAAATACTTGATATAGAAGTTTTAAAACAAATGTTATAAAAGCCTCAATATCTTAGATTTTAATTTAGCTTTATGTTTATATTAATCACAGTTATGTAACACCTAAACAAATGCCTACTATGCTAACTTCCATCTGGGTCTATATAGGAAACAAAACTCTAAACTCCAGCATCTGAGTACAGTGCAGTTTACTTAGGTAAGTTACTATCTTCTGAGAACCAGAGACGCGACTGCCCTCTACCCAGCTCTGCTTCATGCTCTATCACCACCTGCAGCTGATGCAGCTCTCGCACGTTGGCTTCACACTGCAACTGAAGGTCCCGCATTTGATTTTCATGTTTTTGATGCTGAGCCATTCTCTCGTTCTTCTGTCTCTTTTCTTCTTGAGCAGCAAACTATAAATAAGAAACACAATGACAAATATGGTTAACGAGCAAAGTAATTTCTGTATTTTTCAAAGGTATAATTAAATAATTTAACTAAGCTGAAAAAAACAATAAGCTAGGCCCTCCCTGGTGGCGCAGCGGGTTAAAGCACTGCACTGAGAATCTAAAGCCGCTTCCGCATGAGTTCGATCCCCGCCTGCCCCGGAGGTGACCACATGGCGTGGCAGACGTCTCCTGACCCGCCCGCTGCTCCCCTCAGCAGTGTACTTCATCGATCTGCCTGTTCTGCTCCCCACTCTGTCTCTGGTGAATCCTCTCACCCTCCGCATCTCTGGCCTGTACCCCAGTTCTGTATGAATAAATAAATAAATCTTAAAAAAAAAAAAAAATAAGCTAAAGCTGCAAGCAATAATATACTGTGACTCAAAACTGGAATCTACATTATGGTTTTGGTGAGGAGGGGGTACTTCAGATTAACCTTGTTTCTCCTCCTAATTGTTTAGTCAACCTTAGTTCATTTGTGTGTTGGAACTGTAGAACATAGTGGGGCTGTGGAACTGTAGAACATAGTGGAGCCATATGTTTTGACTTAAAAAGCTCTTTAAGTCTTCTCATTCCCAGGATGATCACTACCCCAGGATCTGACATGGGAGGTTGTAGGAGGGAGGGATTTGCCCTCTGTGGCCTCTACCATCGGAAGACTAAGTTGTATATGCTATGTATCTGGCCCTAGTCATAGAACCAAAGAGAACATCAATAAGCCCAAGATGACTCTAAATGTTTACAACACACTTGTGTTTATATTTCCTAAGATGCTGGGGTTTAAATATTTTAAACCTACAATAAATAAAGTAATTTTCCTATTTACCTGTTTAATTTTGTCTCGGTCCTGGTCTGGTGAGGCTGTTGAGTTAATTCTCAAACTTTTCTTAAACATGGCCATTCGCGTCTTGGCTTCACTTCGCTGAATCTTAGGCAGTCTTGCTCTTTCTTGAGTCTGTCTGTTTTTCAATTCCTCAATAAGTCTTTGATTATAACGCTGCATTTGTTCTGTTTCCTAAGAAAACAGCAGCATCCAAGAACACAGAATAATTTAATATTCATACTCACATGTAAGTTCAAATATGTTATTTTGTTATTTTCCAAAATTATTCTCTCCCTTGTTACTGATGAGCAAATTAAGCATTATATATATATATATATATATTATATATACACATATATATATATATATAAGAAAAGGAAAACTATTAGAAATAAGAAGTCTCATATTGAAATTTGCTTTTACTAAGTATAGAGTCCACATTTTAAAAATAACTGTATCAGGGCTTCTCTGGGGATACAAGGGGTTATGCTACCCACAGTCACTACAGATGAGTTCGATCTCCAGCGAGGTAGCTGACCTACATGGTGCACCAGACCTCTCCTGTCATGCCTGCTACTCCTATTAGCAGTGTAATTCAGTAGATCTGCCTGTTCTACTCCCACTCTTTTTGTTAATCCTCTCACTCCGCTCCTCCATCTCTAGCCTACATCCCAACTCTTATATGCACAAATAAGTAAAGTAAACCTTTAAATAAAAATAACTAATTCATAAATGTAGACAAAATAGATACATCTGAGAGACCAGATGAAAACTGTAATATATAAGAAGCCTATAAGCATTATAATTAGTTATCTCCCTTGGAATTGTAGGAAAGTTTATATCCATAACCAATATACATTAATAACTCAAAACTTAAGCAATTTTAAGATAAAAGAAATCTAAAGTATATTCTCTAAAAAATGTTTCAAAATGAATCATTCTGCAAACTTTTCAAATAAACAAAAAAATGAAAGAATTTCCTTTTATTCACCTTCTCATGGCGCTTAAGCAACTGATGTCTTTGCATGAAATACTGATCTTTAAGTTGCTGTTTAAGCAACTGATGTTTTTCTTGCAAGTGTCGTTCTTCAAGTTCCCAAATTGCAGCTTCTCGAGCTAAAATAAAGTAATTTTCAAAATATCACTTTGCTCTTTTTACTATGTATTTTGGTCTTCATTTCAAAATATTTACCAAAAAAGTGTTCTGTGCACACTAACATAAAAACATGCACTAACGTCCTGAGTTATAAATGAAGTATTACCAAAGATAGAATGTCCTAACCTCCAAAACCAACATTTAATTTAATTATCCTAATAAAAAACAAAAAATATCTAAACTGTTTGTTAGGGGAAATAAGTGCCTAAGGTCCCCATCTAACACTTAGGCAGTACAAAGTTGTAAGTCATAATTAGAATTCCAAAGTACACTGGTATATTTCTGGATTATTTGGACAAAAAGATATTTCAGTGATTATATGCTTATAGTTCAAAAAGGAATTCTGTATTTTGTAGTATTTCCTAATTTTACAAAGTATTTTTCCTGTTATTTACATCAACTTTATTTTTTCCTCTACCACTCTAGCAAAGGATAGCACTCAAATCATTCCAAGGTATATCTCAACAAAGTTTCGGAGCTACCACTTTCTATGTGTACACATGCTGCATAATTTCACATACCTCTCATGAGCTGCTGTTTATTATTCAGGCACTCTCTCTCAATATTGGCTAACTCTGCCTTCTGCTGCTGGATGATCTTTTTCAGAGAGCCATCCAATTCTTGTTGTTGCTTCTGAACAAACTCTTGTTCCTATTAGACATAGTTAACCATCAGTAGACAAACAAGTATTTACTGAGCAAAACATCTACTTATCCATATGACTATATACTAGTGATTAACAAGTCTCTAAACCAAGTTTCTAAAGTTAATTGGATTAAAAAAATCACCAACATTATATTACATATACCTATATGTATATATAAAACATAAATGTATTAGTCATCCAATTCAAGCTAAGAAAAAAATACTATAATACAAAATATACTAAACTCACTATCAAGAGTACACTTAAAAAAAGAAAAAGCTGTAACACATCATATTAAAAAGTCCTATTACAATGCCATCTTTGTGAAAATAAATTCATAGCTTCTCAAACTGTAACATACCACATAAAGACAAGACTATTTCTTGTCTTATATGTATGATAAAAATAATAAATTCCTTTTAGGAAGATAATTAAGAACAAATAAGTAAAACATACAAGGATTTTAAACTATTTTTGTAAAAAAAAATATAATAAAGGAGGAAATAATACAGCTACACTAATAGAGATAGCCTGTATCTAAAAAGAAGAGCAACAGTTTAAGGACTTAATGAGAAATGATGCATTACCAGAGAAACATGAACCAGTAATAGGAAAGTGAAAGTTACATTTTATAACTCTATAAACAAAATTCCATAAAAACAGAGATTTCTACGTTTTGAGATTCACATATTCATTCAACAAATACTGAGTACAAATTAACTACCAAATACCAATTTTATGCTTTTAAAAAATTCTTCAATTACTGTAGAAGGCAAGAAAATTTTAAAATGACTTAAGGTATTAGCTAATATATACACCAATAGAAAGGAGCAATATATCCAAATTGAAGAAATAAAAGTAAATGTTTGGATCTCTATCCGTCTCTTAGGCAGTTACAGCAGTTTATGATTAGCTCAAGGGATACTCTGATCAATCTCAGTGTGGATTTAGAAATTTAGGACTCTTGGTGATGGGGAACACACGGGGATTACAATTGAGATGAGAAATGGACAAAATGATGTAAAAATAAGCTATATTATATACATAAAAAAAAGAAATTTAGGACTGAAGCAGCACTTTATTTGTAACTCTTCCTCTTTCACATCCAGAAGAAGATAAAACCCCAAGATCCATTTGGAAATTATTCTATAGGCCTTGGACAGAATCTGACAGGAACTAGATCACAGCCTTTAATGCACAAAGAATGAGTTAACAGTGGTCCTCAAGGAACTTGCCTTACTAAAATGTGACTTTTTTAACTCAAAATCTAAAAATGGTGATGATCAGAAAAGTGATCATAATTCATAATTTCTCCCTCTCATTAAAAAAAAATTAATGCTTTCAAATTTACTCTTTCAGAAAACTATAGAGTTCAACAGCTCAAATACCACCAAAAAAAAAAGACTAATTGCAGGAGAGGGGAGAAGTGAGGTTGAAATCAAGCTGTGTTCTATCTACTCCAGTTGTATATATCAAACATCACAAACAAAAATTACAGTGTTAAATGAGCTAACTGCTTTCATATGTAAACTGTGAGAAAGAATACAGCTTGGAATTCCAGGCTTAATTCACAACTATAGCATGAGAATATTAACTCACTATTCATTATGGATACTTTGAGTAGCAAAATCTAGAGGCAACGAAAATCATCACTTTTAATATGGCTTTTCTGACCATGCCCATAAACATATAGATAACATCTGTTATCTATTAAACATATTTTCACTTCACACAAAAATAAAATTTAATCACAGCATTCAGTTTCTCACATGTGCAAAGCTTATTAAAATACTACTGGAAAATTTTCTTGAAAAAGACAAAAATCTCCAATTAAAATCTGTGGTAGAGTAGTTAGGGGGAAAAAAAGAACACTATATTAGGAGTGTTCCACTTCCAGCTTTACCATTAATCTCTTCTGTGACTTAGGGCAGATAACTTAGTTTTCGCTGCCTTGATTTCTTCGCAGGTAAAATACACACTATACAAACATCAGGGTGATGGCAGTAAGAACCAACTATGAAAACTCTTTGAAGAATACAATACCATCAAATTCATCTCAGGTTATTACTGTTATTGTCATTACTGACGTTATCGTCAATTAATTTTCTAGATTTTAACAAACAAAACTAACAATGAAAAGGCACATGTGAGTCAAAGGAAAAGCAGGTAGAACAGGAGAAGGCATCCTCCTATAATATGTGGGACTTACATCCTGCATTTGGGCGTTGAAGACTGCACAAGATGACAACTGAAAAGACTGAATCATGACCTGGGCAACGCCCTGTGGATCAGAATACAAGGCACCTCCCAGGTGAGAATATAGCTCAAAGACTTTTTGTAAGTGGAAAGAATAATTATACAAATGCTGAGATTCTTAATAAGCCATTTACCAGAGAAGCTTCTTCCTCATCTGTAAAATGAAGGATTTGAGTATTTTCCAAACTCTAGTTCACTGCTATTGTTTTATAAATCCATTTAACCTTCTTTTTTAAAAAACTCACACAAAAAGTCTCAGTTTATAAAACAGATGTAAACTGTATTGCTTTAAAATACAAACAGAGGTGCAGAGATTCACAGCCCCTCACTTTTTGAAGGATCCTCTAGATGTATTTTCCAAGCTCAAAAGCTTTTGGAAGTACAATTTTCTAAAAACCATTGTTTACATTCTAATACCATGAGTATGAATAATTAATGAATTCTCAAAAAATGTTCAAAATACTCTGTAATCAAGTTTTAGCTCTTCAAAAACAGGTAAAAAGAAATACTTTTTGAAATTTCTTAATTACTAAATTCTTTACTGAAGTTACAGAAAGAAATTTATTTCAGCTTTCAGATTTTAATTGGAAAATATAGGATAGCCATCAAAATTACATGAAAAATAACCAACAAAGTTTTCATTAAAGCACAGGATCACCAAATTCATTCAACACTAAATTCTCGATTTCAGTTCTAGAGACTTACATTTAGAATTCAAAGTTTATATTCCTTCCTTTACAGGTGAACTTATTGTTACCTGGTTCGAAATCCAAATTACCCAAAAACACATGTGTGGCCAGTAAGGACTTCCTCCTCATTTATTAACAAGAGATGGCCAACAACTACTGGACCAAGCTGCTAAGAGTTTGTATTAGCACAGAAAGGGTGGCTTACAAATGACAAGCAGGATGGTGTGGGGTTTCAGTGTATGAAATGTGAAGCCGGAACTGCATGGATGAGAATTCTGGTGTTAGCACTAACCAGTTATGTGATCTTGGGTGAGTCTCTCAACCTTCCTGCACTCCCTGGCCTATAGAATGGAGGTAATAAACGTAACTATTTCTTATGTTGTGAGATTATATGACTTCACACAGAAAAAAAGCACTTAGAACAGTATTTGACACACAACAAATGCTGTGTTTGTTAGCACCACCTTAACTTGTAATTACCACATCAGGCCAAGAAAATATTTTTTCACTGGCACTGGCAAAACAAATTAAAAGAAAATAAAATCACAACTAAATTTACTCAAACAGGGTATTTTTATTTTCCTTATATGTTTTAATATTCTTACATTTTCTTATACTTAAAATATTCTCTCTTGATGATGTTCACAAAAAAATTCTAATTTTTGTTTTTAAATAAACTTACTTGGCTAAGTTAAAAAACAAAAAAATTAATGGTAGTCCATCTCATCACCCCCAAGGGTACATTTTAGTTGTTTCTATGCTTATTTTCATTGATCTGTAAAATTCAAAATGCTGAGAACTACTTTTAAAATCACATAAAGCCATCATATAAAGATAATTCAAAGCAATAAATACTTTGTTATCCTTCTTCCTTTCATTGACATATATAATAAAATCAGGTTCACTTCTCTTTGCTTCCATGATAAGTGCAAGCTTATTTATAAGAAAGGTGGACTTCTACCATAAACAAGTGTGCAAAGTCATGTGAGATAATTCTAAAAAAGCTCTTAAAAGTGCTAATTTATCTAGTTTTATAAAGAAATTCATCCTTCTTAATTGGTTCAACCTAGAATCATTTATCTATTTTTTAACTGCTAAATTCTGAATCAAAAAGAAAAACATTTTTAACAATAGATAATATTTAAAATCTGATTTAGGTTGTTTATGTTGCTAACAATAATAAAAGTTTGATCTACAGCTTAAAGTTACTATTTAACATTTTTCTTTTAGCTTTGAACTTCATAGAAATAATGGTGTCTTTAAAAGCATTGTTTTTGTATGTGCATAGCTTATATACTCAACCTCTATATTTTTCTGTTCT